GTGGTCTACTTAATTCAATAATGGGATCCCCCGTGTCTGCTTACTGGTGATCTATGTTCAAACTCAAGTTTCAGCAGTGACACTTTATTCCTATATAACTGTTGTACCTATGGACGACAATGGGTATGTCCCCGTTCATATAAATACAGTAGTGAATACTGTATGTTGGTCTGCAATGGGAGATTCATTGTGGAATTCACTTGACTCACTTCTAGCAGTTGACTACTTCAGGTGTTGTTCTTGTCCTAAGTATTATCGTTCATTCCTAACCTTCATGTGATTATTCTATTCAGTAACCTTCCCTAGGTTAAAACAATAACAAGTAAGATTGCATAGATTATTGACTTTATATGTGCATATTTTTGAATTTTTTCATCCTAAAGATCATTCAGTACACAGCTCAAGAGACACTCAAGGTAGAGGGTTACTGTTAAAAGGGTTAACAGAAGAAATCAATTACCAAACTTATACTTTGAGAAACTTTTACAATGAACGCCAAAAATGTATGCTGCAGTAATCAAGGCTAAAAGAGGATATTTGGATGAGAGCAAAATTTAATCATATTTTTTTTTCTTTTTGTCATAATAAACTCTCTAATGAAAATCATGTCTCACTTTTTTTAACTGTGTATAATAATTTTCTCTTGTGTAAAGTACAAAGCGTGGGGCCAATTTTAAAAATTATTAGGGTGGCCTTAAACTTTTAAACTGTAGTGTAAATTGGTATGTGTTTGTGTGATTTTGAAAATTGACTACTATTTTTGTACAGTCATCATACTAAATGTCACTTAACTGGTTTGATACAGTAAAATAATAAATTTCACTTTTGTAGGCCATTGACCTTTGTGTTAAAGATTATGGAAATAACACTTTAACTTTAATTGTAGTGTTCTTGTTTTATTTGAAACTTTGGTTGGGAAGAGAATGAAAAAGTTGAACAAGTTATTTAATTTCATCTTCATTTAAACAAGCAGGTTGTTTTTATGGTTAAGTCCAACTGATCATACATATACATATACATAAACGTATCATACATATACATAAAGTATGTGACCTGATTACTTGCTCTCCGTTGAGCAGTTTTTAAGCCATGAACTTTTGAGGTCAAAATATGTTACTGAATATATTGCCATGCACTAAAAAGATACTTCATCACATCAAATTAAAGCAGTTAAGATTTTTGTCTGCTTTTTGACTAAAAATGAATATCATCTATATTTAATTAATATTAACTTTTCTGATATGACTAAAGAATGGGATTATATTTCTTTTACAAATATTTGTGTAAATAAATTTAAAAAATAAGTGATATATATCATTATTAAAACTTTTTGAATATAAGGTTAAAAACACGATATTAGAGTTTATAAATTACCCTAAGAAATTTATCCTTGTGGAATTTAATAATGGCCAAAACCTTGTGAAATTTTCCAAAGAAAAGATTCAAGAATGGCATTAAAAAAAGCCTTGAGAAAATTTGATATTCCTGCAGATTTGGAGGAAATGGTAGCAGAAGAATGAAGTCAGTAATATTCCCAAGACTAATTCAAAAAATAACATAATGAAAGACGACCAAGATAAATACAAGAGAAAATGATGTAAAGGTAAAAAGAAAATCAGAATGTATTTGATTCAATTGGTCTGAAAGAAATCATGGCACAAATTAGATGAAGAATCTCCTCAAACCACAAATATCGTTTGAAATCCAAGAGAAGCTAAAAGCAAGACAGAATGCTCTCAAGAGATACGAGACCAAAGTGAAATTAGCAAAGAGTTTAGTGAAATTGTCTTTTTTATTTAGTAAATATCATTAAACATCTTAGACTAAAAAGCCTAAAAAGTTAGAAATATTGTATGAAATCTAAGAAAAGCTAGAAAACATAATACAAAGCTCTGAAGAGAGAGAAGACTAAAGTGAAATTAGCAAAGAGCTTAGTGGAATTGTCCTTTTTCTTTAATAAATATCACTGCATATATTAAACTAAAATGCCCCCCTCCCAAAACTACAAATATTATTTAAGATTCACGAAAAGCTAAAAATACAACACAGTTGCTTGAAGGAAGAGAGGAAAGATAAGCAGTAGAAAATAGTAATGAGCATAGTTGAATTGTAATTTTTATTTGGGGACTGTCATTGTATAAATTAAACTAAGAATCCCCTCAAAACACAAATATTGTTTGAAATTCAAGAAAAGCAAATAAAATAAGAATTGCAAGAAAAAAGAAACAGAATGTAGTAAGATCTTTTCATGTTCGAAAATATTTATACTATAAATTGTTTTAAGATGTCAGTGAAATAAAGACTTTAGAAAAACTAACTTCCAACTTTACAAAAAACAAGTATTTACCGTTCCTTTTCTCTAACTGTTACACTACGTTTCAATTTTTTTTTCAATGTATGAATCTATTGTTAGACAATGAAATGACTATGAGCATTTTCTGCTGCATTATGTATTTGGTATAGAGATGGTTCAGAAAATATCTTGAAATATATACACACAGTGATGTCTTCCGATCAATAGAAATGAATCCAATGCTGTGAAATGTCTATGTTTTGTTGTTCCATGACAATAATCTTTCTATTGATTTTCTGTAAGAATCATCAATACTCCGTCTTCGGATTGATGGGGGTCTTGGTCTAAACACTGGACTATCAGTCTTATTAATGGTGTTGGATATAGAAGAATAGTTGCCACTTTTCATGACTGATAACGCTTCACTGGAGGTAAGAAACCAACGTAGTCGTCTTTTTTCCTCTGGAATCAGATCATCTACGTTGTCATTTAACTCATCCTCTGAAAACTATAAATAAAAAACAAAAAAATTTATACACACATTCATATTTAGATTTTTTTTTTACTTCAAATGATATTATATTGGATACTCGTATTTGAAATAGACGCCCCATTTTTATTTTGATTTTGAACACTGTGTATAGTCCTGTGATGGAGAAATCTTAATAAAGAAAATGTGTTAACTTTTTTTTTTTTTTTAAGTATTTCACCCCAAGCAAGGCAGGAGTGCCACTAGCACGCAAGGGGTTACAGAGAGTGAAAGTAAAACTAAAGAGGGGTGTTTGAGGAAAGGATAAAGAGAAGGACAGGGATCAAGATCAAGGCATCAGAAAATGTCGATTGACATTACATTTGAATAGTTGAAGATTATAGCTATTAGGGAAACAAGTAGGGTGAAGGGAGTTCCACTGGCAGGAAGTGCGAGAAAAGAAGCTGTTGGAGTAGAAGAGGTGGTTACATTTAGCTGTTTCAACAGTAAAAGGGTGGGACTGAGATGCCAACCTCGTAGCATGCTTAAATTCATACAGTTGTGGTACCAGTGAAAGTAGTTCGTCAGGACAGTTGCCATGAAAATATTTGTAGAAAAGACAGAGGGAAGCCACAGGGCGTCTGTGAGAAAGTGACTGTAGATGAGATACCAGATCAAGACCTATCACATTGCATATCCATCTCTGTATTTTGTTGAGGAACTCAAGATGAACAGTGGGGGCACCAGACCATATACGGCAACAGTATTCAATGCAAGGATGAATGGTAGATTTGTAGATTTGAAAGGATGGACTCAGGTAAGTGGTTTTATTTATTAAGATTTCTTGAATAAATGTGCAGGATGTTAGCCTTAATACACACAGTTTGAAATGAAAATGGGGCATATATTTCAAATATGAGTATCCACTATAGATATTAGAAGCGATAAAAATGACTGATTAAAAATACAGACAAACCTCTCATCAATGGACTAATGGGGGGGGGTCCATTAAAGCCAATTGTCTGTATTGTTTGAAATCTAGGAGAAATTAAAAGCAAGACACAATGGCCTGAAGAGAGAGAAGATTAAAGTGAAATTAGCAAAGAGCTTAGTGGAATTGTCCTTTTTATTTAATAAACATCACTGCATATATTAAACTAAAATGCCCCCCCCTCCCAAAACTACAAATATTATTTAAGATTCATGAAAAGCTAAAATACAACACAGTTGCTTGAAGGAAAGAGAGGAAAGATAAGCAGTAGAAAATAGTAATGAGCATAGTTGAATTGTAATTTTTATTTGGGACTGTCATTGTATAAATTAAACTAAGAATCCCCTCAAAACACAAATATTGTTTGAAATTCAAGAAAAGCAAATAAATCAAGAATTGCAAGAAAAAAAGAAACAGAATGTAGTAAGATCTTTTCATGTTCGAAAATATTTATGCTATAAATTGTTTTAAGATGTCAGTGAAATAAAGAATTTAGAAAAACTAACTTCCAACTTTACAAAAATCAATGCCAGTTTATAGACTCAAGTATTTGTTGCTTTTTTCTGTTATACTAAATTTTATTTATTTTGCTTTTTATGTTATTCTTTTAAGTATAATAAAAGGAAGTATTTTTAAATATTAGAAAGCGATGTCATTTTTAAATATGAGACAAGTCATTTTTAACTATTAGACATTGAAGTCATTTTTGTAAGTATTAGACTAGTTCTTTTTAAGTATTAGACAATGAAGTCATTTTTGTAAGTATTAGACAAGTTAATTTTATATATATATATATATATATATATATATATATATATATATATATATATATATATATTAGGCAATGAAGTCATATTTGTAAGTATTAGACAATGATGTCATTTTGTAAGTATTAGACAAGGAAGTTATTTTTAGCAGCCAGTGAAGTCACCTTTTTAATTATTGGACAATGAAGTCATTTTTAATTAGCAGAAAATGAAGTCATTTTTTAAATAGTAGCAAATGAAGTTACTTTTTAAACAGTACACATGAAGTCCTTTTCTAAGTATTAGACAATGAAGTCATTTTTAAGTAGAGACAATGAAGTTTTTTTCTTGAGTTGTAAACAAAAAGTGACTGGTAAAATATTCTGATACATTATGTATTTAGTACAGAGATTTCTGAAGACAAATCTTGAAATGCATTCACAAGATAATGAAACTGATGTCATCAAATCAAGAGAAATGAATTCCAGTGACAGTTGGTTTCTATATTTTGTTGGTCCATGACAATATTCTCTGCATTGATTGTCTGTAAGAAGCATCCATACTCAATCTTCTGACTGATGGGGGTCTTGGCATAAACACTGGATTATCAGTCTTATCCAGGGTGTTGGAGATGGAAGAATAGTTGCCACTTTTCATGATTGATAACGCTTCACTGGAAGTAAGAAACCAACGTAGTTGCTTTTTGTTCTCTGGAATCTGATCATCTACGTTGTCATTTAGCTGATCCTCAGAAAACTGTAAAAAGACAAAACAAAAGAGAGGGAAAGAGGAGTGGATGAGAGAGGATATATTAAAAGGGGGGGGATAGTAGTAAAAGAAGGGAAAGAGGAAGTGGGTGAAGAAAGAGGAGAGAAAGAAGGTAGTAGAAATAGAGAGGGATACAGGAGGAGAAATGTGTAGAAGAGAGAATAGAAGAGATAGGGGGAGATGGAAAGACTGAGAAAGAAATAGAGGGAAAGAGATGGATAGAGTAGAAGATGTTTAGAGAAAAAGAGTTTGGTTTGATTTGGTTTATTTTTGTTTTACGGCATATCAACCTCAATGGGTTATTTAATGCCGACAACATTTTTAGGATAGATTCGTATGAATAGAATATGTATTCTTTGGTTTAGATTGGTTTGGTTTATTTTTGTTTTACGGCATATCAACCTCAATGGGTTATTTAATGCCGACAACAAGGATTTTATGAATAGAATATGTATTCTTTGGTTTAGATTGGTTTGGTTTGAATATCAATATGGGTTATTTAATGCCGACAACATTTTTGGTTTAGATGAATAGAATATGTATTTTTGCTTTAGATTGGTTTGGTTTATTTTGTTTTACGGCATATTCAATGGGTTATTTAATGCCGACAACATTTTTAGGATAGATTCGTATGAATAGAATATGTATTCTTTGCTTTAGATTGGTTTGGTTTATTTTGTTTTACGGCATATCAACCTCAATGGGTTATTTAAACAACATTTTTAGGATAGATTCGTATGAATAGAATATGTATTCTTTGGTTTAGATTGGTTTGGTTTATTTTGTTTTACGGCATATCAACCTCAATGGGTTATTTAATGCCGACAACATTTTTAGGATAGATTCGTATGAATAGAATATGTATTCTTTGGTTTAGATTGGTTTGGTTTATTTTGTTTTACGGCATATCAACCTCAATGGGTTATTTAATGCCGACAACATTTTTTTTCGTATGAATAGAATATGATTCTTTGGTTTAGATTGGTTTGGTTTAATGGCATATCAACCTCAATGGGTTATTTTGCCGACAACATTTTTAGGATAGTTGTATGAATAGAATATGTATTCTTTGGTTTAGATTGGTTTGGTTTATTTTGTTTTACGGCATATCAACCTCAATGGGTTATTTAATGCCGACAACATTTTTAGGATAGATTCGTATGAATAGAATATGTATTCTTTGGTTTAGATTGGTTTGGTTTATTTTGTTTTACGGCATATCAACCTCAATGGGTTATTTAATGCCGACAACATTTTTAGGATAGATTCGTATGAATAGAATATGGATTCTTTGGTCTAGATTGGTTTGGTTTATTTTGTTTTACGGCATATCAACCTCAATGGGTTATTTAATGCCGACAACATTTTTAGGATAGATTCGAATGAATATAATATGTATTCTTTGCTTTAGATTGGTTTGGTTTATTTTGTTTTATGGCATATCAACTTCAATGGGTTATTTAATGCCGACAACATTTTTTATTGTTGGTAATATTTTGTTTTGTCAAAAATCTGTTTCTGGTAATATTTTTCCTTCAAAATTGTATTGCTGCTAATAATTTTTTTCAAAAAAGTATTGCTGGTAATAGTTAACTATTTGCCCATAGCTGGGACCCTAACAGGTGCTACCACCCCGGGTCAGGGTGGACCTGGAAACACTAGCAATTAAGGTGGCTTCACGCTCCTCAAAATCTCCTGATCAGAGGCCTTGCTGTTGGATGTAGTTTATCATCGTATCCAGGATGCGGATGTAGTTTAACGTCTTACCCAGGACGAAGAAAAGAAGAGAGAGGGAAATAGATAGAGAAGAGAGAGAAGAGGAGAAAGAGAAAAAGAGGTAGAACATAGAGAGAAGAGAAAATAAAAGAGGATGATGGCGATAGGAACACAAAAAGAGGTGGTGAGTGTGAAAGAAAGGAGAGAGAGAGAGAGCAATACAAATAGCTTCAAGGCACACTCTCAGTGAAAAGTATCAAAACATGCTTATCATACTATATTTCCCTGCTTCAATAGCTCATGTCAAGATCAATAATAGATGTTATGCTAATAATGGATATATCAATGCCTAACGTGGACGTTGGAAAGTGTAGAAGACCAATATATTATCTTTCTTTTTCCAAGTACTCCATCATATCTAATACTATTAAATGTAAACAAGCAAGAAAAATAACATGTAAGGTAAATTTCTCAAACACCTATATGACTTACAGCCTTATTATATTGAAATACTGGTTCTCATATGATCACCAAAGTTAAGCAACGTTGAACCTGGTCAGTACCTATATGGGTGACCACTTGAGAATACCAGGTTCTGTAAGCTTCGAAGTATGGGGATGTTATGGATAACAGCTCCAAATTGGAAATTGAAGAGCTGAGTCCCAATTCCAGTCAGGTTCGTTATATTCACTTACACACAAATACCCTTTGGTAAGGTATGGATCCATCTCTTCTCCCCCAATTATGGGTTAATTAGTAGGGATTGGATCAGTAAAGCATTATTACTTCCAAAAGATCCTTACAATCCAAATACGTGTTTTGGCTTTAAATAACCTACAAACGGTTGATAATCCATAAAAGACAAATCATCCAATCAGAAACCATAAAAGTCAAATCAACTAATCAGAATCCATAAAAGAAAAATCAACCAATCAGAAACCTATAATCATGACAATATTGCATCTAAGAAATTAGGACAACTTAACTTCCTTGGTATTAATGGTTATGATATATGGTTTGGGAAATTTACGACGTTGTAAAAGTTGTATATTTCCAAAAGGCTGCAGAATTCTGGAACCTCTAATTGATTATGTGACAGGTTTTAATATTGTCTATTGAAAAAGATAGCAACCTGATTGCAGGTATATTCAAGAACTCCCGGCCTTTAAGTATGTGAAATTTAGGCTACTTCTGTCCTTAAAGTGTTAAGTCTCTTACATCTATTAATAATCAGTGTAAAAGCAGCAAAATTAAAACTTATAAGAAAGAACTCATTGCTAATGAATGGGCAACAACAGTTGGTGTTATGTAAATCTGGCTGACATTTTAATCATCCACTAAGTAATAAAATATATCATTTTGTGGGTTAACACATACTAGACTGTAAAATAGCGAAAATTTCTTTCTTGGGGGTGGGGATACTTTTTAGTGTTTAGTGTAATAATAAATGAGAGCAAGAGAAGACTTAAGGCAGCTTTATTCTGCAGACAATAATTGATACAAGCGTAGGGACTATTTATTATCCTCTACAAGTGAAAGAGCTCTCCAAAGGGAGGTAATCATCAAACAATGGAGGTTACTCCCGATTACTAAATTTTAGACTTTCTCTAGGATATGACATTTGTCAGAACAAATTTTTACCTAGTTTGTTAAATTCACCAGCCCTAAGATTACGATATATATATATATATATATATATATATATATATATATATATATATATATATATATATATATATATATATATATATATATATGATATATATATATATGATATATATATATGATATATATATATATATATATATATATATATATATATATATATATATAAATATATATAACTATACTCATACAAATAAAAACCCTTGAAAAACCTTTTTTTGATTTGCAACTAATCAAATCAATCTCGAGGGAAAAAAGGTTTTTAAAAAAAAGAAAGAGCTACAAACATGAAAGTTTGTCGAAAAAAATTGTACAGATTCAGGTTTGAAGCCCAAAGAAAAAAACCCGATACGAGTAAACAACTAACTAACAAAAGAGCTCAATACAACTGTAGAGCAGACCTAGATACACCTAGTGAGCCAAACAAACCTACCTAGGTTTCACCTAAACGAATCGCCAGGAAATTAGGTAGGTTTGTTTGGCTCACTAGGTATATATATATATATATATATATATATATATATATATATATATATATATATATATATATATGATGTTTATATATATGATGTTTCTGTCTTCAACGCTATATATATATATATATATATATATATATATATGTGTGTGTGTGTGTGTGTGTGTGTGTGTGTGTGTGTGTGTGTGTGTACACAGTGTTGATACAAATACAATAGAAATATATATTATTTACTGGATTATGGTCGAGTAATGGATTATGACTTAGATTGAGGAATCTGAGACGAGTTCAAATTTCAGTTGAGATTGTTACATTCACTTACGTGCTAATGCCCATGGAAAGTGTATGAAGCCATGTCTTCTCCCCACCCCAATAATGAAATAGCAGGATAGAGTGAGTTCTACAGCCTTAGGTAGCAACCAGTCTAGGAGAAGGAAAATTCTGAATTCAAACCAGTCTGCTGCCTTGTAAGTTTTGCTTCTTTAGGAAAAAAAGGCTAGAAGAAGGTAACTTCGAAAACAATTCCACCTCGCATGTTGTCTCAAAGAAAGAAACTGCCCCCACCCGCACATACACACTTCAAGCCGTGACAAAAAATAATGAACTTTTTGGGCTTAGTATAATGGTTCGAAACCTGGGAAAACAGCATGACGCCATGGATCTATCTGATTTTGGATTTTTTGCCCATGGGTGTATTACCTATGGCACTTTAGACAATGACTGGAGTAATAGACATTTTGTTTACACTTAGTCTGAGAACATTCCAATACCACCAAGTATAGGATATTACCTCTTACCCTCAGTTGAAACGACCAGTATAAATCCAAGTTTAATAAGGATCAATGAGACTTTCTTGCAGCTGAGATAGTTACATGTTTTCCACCGGTGCCTTATGCTAGTGTCTGGAATACAGACGCAGCACAATCTTCCTACCAAGAGTTCTTTCATTTAGTCTTGTGTTTGAGAAAGCAATGCATATTAAGATGCAAAATGTTAGGTCTTAATTTGTTGATTTTCAAGGCAGATAGGCCATCCGCACTTAGAAGACTGGTGCTACATAATCTTTATAATCTAAATTTCACTGTGTGGCAACCAATTTTAATAAAAAAAATAAGAGATGAGAGTATAATGAACTAAGAGTGGATTAACAACAGGTTAGTCTCAAACCATATGTAAATGAACAGATTAAGAATGAGTTAAAAGATGGTTAATCTCAAGATATAAGGAAATGAACAGATGAAGTGTGAATTAAAAGATGGTTAATCTCAAGATATAAGGAGAAATGAACAGATTGAGTGTGAATTAAAACTGGGTTAATCTCAAGATATAAGGAAATGAACAATTTACGAGTGAATTAAAAGATGGTTAAACTTGTACATTTAAGAAATAAACGGATTAAGAGTGGGTTAAGACAAGGTTAATTTTATACATTTAGGAAAAAATGGATTTGGAGTGGTTTAAAGCTTTGTTAATCTCAGAACTTTAAAAAATAAATGGATTAACTATATGCTCAACAAATCTTTTATCAAATATGGTATTATTCAACTAAATAAAAATGGAAAATAAAACAATCAAAGAAGAAAGCCATAAATTTACCTCGAGGTTATTTTCCACAGCAACAATCACTTCATGAGCATCATCAGTGACGTCCTGCAAAAAAACAAAAAAACAAATCAAAACAAGTTATCTTTGACAAATTTGTGTAATGCTAAGTTTAGTTTAAAGTTTTACATCAGTAGATTTTGAGCAATATAAATATGATTATTTGAAACTTCATAATGGCAGATTCAGTGCATTTCTTGTGCATTTCTAGTTTAATGCTGATTCTTATGTAATTTGATGAGTAAAATCACATGGCGTCAATTAAAATTAATTTTGAGCAATATTAATAGCAGTATTAGAAGCCTCATGATGGCAGAGTTGGTGCATTTTATGCATTTCCAGTTTAACGCTGATTCTTATGAAATTTGATGAATAGAAACACAAAAACAAGACAGCCCAGCCCATACCATTAACTTGTAATGGACTTGGTAGCCTTTTATATATATTACTAATAAAAGGCATTTACTATACACATAATAACATTTAATCTGCATAACAATTTTTAAAAACGTACTTTGAGAAATATTTAATCTGTGGTATTTAGATTTAATTCAAATTTTAAAAATTACCGTATATAAACAATGTTTCTATTGGTATTTTTTTAAAAAATCCACCGTGTTTGTATAGAAAGAATTGCTATTTGCCTTGTCAAAATTCAGACAAGTTAGAAAAGCCAAAGTCTTCAAAACAAGGATTGTTACCATCTGCTATTTCACATTAGTAAAAATTGGTTGAATGACACAGAAAAAAGTTTATGGAATTATTGAAATACCGTAATTCCCCATGAATAATATGCATTCTTTTCTAAAAAATCATAAGAAAAATTAGGAGTGCGTATTATACACAGCTACAAAAAACTCTTTAAAATATTAGTTTCAGAGGTCGATTTCAGTTACGAAATAATTACTCACTACAAACATATGACAATTTGACACTAACATTCGGAAATTGCGACCCCATAAAGATGTCAAATACAATCATATGTACCTAATAATACTTACAAATGTAAAATAAAATAAGAATTATAATAAAACTAAATTAGAATAATATTATTCTATGTTTAAAACCATTTTTTAATAAGAGTAGGAAATGCTGGCTGTAATGAAATGGGAGAGGTACAATTTATAGGGTTTGATTACCAAACAAGGGTGCGTATTATGCATGAGTAGAAGCATTTTCCCACACTTTCAGTACAATTTTAAGGGTGCGTATTATGGATGAAGGTTTATTATACATGGGAAATTACGATAAGTCAAAATAATCTGTTTAATTAGATTTGCTTAAAACTGGGCTGGATTATTTAAATAAGTGAAAAAATGGTAAATTTGCTCAATTAATTATTATTATTATTATTATCATCATCATATAATAATTGTGCTTGTCCGTCCCTTCATTAGATCCTTAATTTGCACGACCATTACACCCTGTCAATACCTCATAAATAATGGACTATTCTGTTTTGACTGCATGAGAAGACAAAATATATATCAGAGACACTACTTGGTTTCAGTGAAAAAAGGAAAGGAAGAAAGATATACATGTTTAACGTTTTCTGCTATGTCATAAATAATTGACTATTCTGTTTTGATTGTGTGAGAAGACAAAAAAAAGACATATAAAAGACACTACTTGGTTTCAGTGAGAAAATGAAAGAAAGAAGAGGAAATAAAAGTGTTTAACGTCTGTTTCAGTGAAATGGAAAGAGTTGTCAATTTCAAATCTTTCCGTTTGTACCCCCTTACTTCTTAAAATAACGACCAGCATTCATATTTATTATTGTTATTACAATATTTTGTTAAAGTTGTTAAGCTCAAATATTTAACATGATAGAGGAATTTCTGCAGGTATTTTATTGTCGTAGAACTCGTCCTCAGCTTATTCAATCATTAACTGGAGAATTAAGATTCATCACAAATTTCAAATAGGAAAACTGAAATTTTTTCAGATTAAAACTAGTTTTTTTTTAAGCGTTTCACCCCAAGCAAGTTGGGAAGCCACTAGCACACAAGGGGTTACAGAGAGTTAGAGCAAGAGCAAATAGGAGTGATAGAGGAAAGGATGAAGAGAAGGATAGGGGATAGATCAAGGCATCTTGAGACGTCGATTGACATTACATTTGAATAGTTGGAGATTATAGCTATCAGGAAAACAAGAAATGGAGAGGGAGTTCCACAGGCGAGAAGTGCGTGACATGAAACTGTTGGAGTAGAAGTACATTTAACAGTTTCAACAGTGAAAGGGTGAGAGCAAGATGCCAGCCTAGTAGAACGCTTAAATTCATGAAGTCTGGGAACCAGCGAAAGCAGCTCATCGGAGCAGTTACTATGAAAGTATTTGTAAAAAAAGACAGAGGGAGGCGACGGCACATCTGTGAGAGAGCGACTGCAGACGAGATGCCAAATCAGGGCCAATTACATTGCATACCTGTCTCTGGATTTTATCAAGAACCTCGAGACAACAGAAGGGGTTCCAGACCATATATGGCAGCAATACTCCATGCAAGGGCGAATGGTTGATTTGTATATTTGAAGTATCGACTCCGGCGAGAAAAATTTCCTGTCGCGGCACAGGGAGCCAACTTTTCTTGCGGTGGACGAAGCTATTGACTCAATGTATTTGTTCCATCTCAGGTCAGCAGTCAATTTGAGACCGAGCAGTTGCAAAGAGGTTCTCTCGTGGAGTTGAGCGTCAGACATTCTAATGGGAGGCAGGGATGGTTCTCTCTGATGAGTAATAGAGAGCAGTTTTGTTTTTGAGGCATTAAAGTTAACCAGCCAATGATTCAAAAGTTTCTCTCCTGGTCAGTTCTATGTAGTTATGTCGAGTGTAGGAAATTCAAATGAACTTAGCATAATGACAGAAAGAAACTTATCAAATATATGTCTTGTTGAAAATATAATTTATACAGAAATTTTAGAGGGGTAAGAGAACGTCTATGACAGTCACGGGTAAACTGGAACCTACATGTGGTCCATTTGGTCTTTCTAAACGTTACGCATAATTTCAAAATGAAAATAACGTTTCTTAAAATTTCATTTTGTTTCGTTGTCACTTACACATACATAAAAAATGTTTAAGTACAATGTTTCTTAAATTTTGTATAATTTCGGCAAAACTAACGTTGTCAACATTTTAAAATATTGGTGATTTCCACTACAAAAGATCATAGTGTAAACATGGTTTAATTTCATAATGAAAATAACGTTTCTTAAAATTTCATTTTGTTTCGTTGTCACTTGTTTACTCACACACTCTCTCATACATAACCACATACATAAAAAATGATTAAGTACAATGTTTCTTAAATTTTGTATAATTTCGGCGAAACTAACGTTGTCAACATTTTAAAATATTGGCGATTTCCATTACAAAAGATCATATGTGTAAACCTTGTTTTTGAAACAGGAAATATTCATAAGAATATTTTCTCTAAAGAAGAAATGTTTTCATTTTCAAATGAATAGAATAGAAATAAATCCCAGGTGACAACATGTGTTAATCGCATTGTCATCAGTGAAAATATTATACCAAGTCTTCAACGTTTTAATTATAAAAAAATGTATTATAAAAAAATAAAACATTGCTACCATTTCTAAGGTATATGCCTACACATATAGTCTTTTGTAGTGAAAATAGCTGAGGTACCTACAATAAAAAAAATTATATTGAATCTTTTTAGTAGTGCAATCACATTGTGATGAACCAGTGACTATGCGGCCTACTGCTCGAGAAAGTTTACCCTTGCATATTCTATGACAACAAACTGAATGACGGCGTCTAGGTTACGGATCTAGATATTCCATATGCTAAAAATTTAAAAGTTTAAATTTAAAACTAAGCAATCTTGTATCTTGAACGTTTTCTATGCAAAATTGTAACCAGTGTTTGTAGCATTTTTTACCCCAACTTACATATAAACCTCTATTAATAAAACTATTTTTCATCTGAAGAAGTTCCTTCTAGGGTCGAAACACATTATTTTATTTCTTTTTAGTCATTTGATTTTCAACTAAGCTGACACTTCCATGAGAAAACTAGATGCATTTAATGTGTGCAAAAGTTCCCAGCAGTCATTGCGGTCACTGAATACACAACTGAAAGTATATACCCACGCTCATATAAACACACATGCATACAAAGGGTCACTGCTGAAATGTTACATACATATATGCACACATACAGATATATACATATGTAACATATGTTATATAACATATGCTACATGTATATAGCATGTGTTAAATGTATAACACATGTAACATGTGTTGCATATACATGCACACACATGCATATAAAGGGTTACTGCTGAAATGTTCTTGGCCCTGTGTTCCTCCCATAATCAGTTTAAATGAGTAAACATCATTGTAATCTGTTTGGTCATTTGGTCAGTTATTTTTAAGTAGGTCAAAGCAAGAACTTTTCAGCACCCACTATATATATATATATATATATATATATATATATATATATATATATATATATCCAAGTATTGGATTTGTGTATAAGGAATAAATTCCAATAACCAAAAATATTATTCTTAAAAGAATGCTCAATACAGAGTAGAGCAAATATAATTTATTCAAAAATTATAACATAAATACAGTGCTGTTTGATAAAAGTGACTCACCTGATTTTTTTTTTTTTTTTTTTTTACTAAATGTTCTCTTCTCCGATGAAACGAAAGTTGAGCTAAATTCAAAGGATAAGCGATCTAAAATCCGAAGAAGCTTTGAAAGCTCTTTGAATTTAGGAGTAAGTATTGTCAAGCATCCGTTCAGTATAATGTTCTGGGGATCGTTTTCTTTTCATGGAACTGGTTTCTTAAAACCTATTGAAAAGACCCTCAGGAGCGAGTAGTACAAGATAATTTTACAGTCTTGTCTGCTCCCTTCTGCTGAAAGGGTGCAAATTGACCCCACCAAGCTCATTTTTATGCAGGATAATGCTCCCTGTCACAAATCAAAATTGATGAAGGAATACTTTGATGAGAAGCAGGTGAGTGTTATGACATGGCCTCCCCAATCTCCTGAGCTCAACCCCATAGAAAACTTATGGAACATTATGAAGTACAGGCTCTCGTGAAAGCAGTTAAGCAACATGCTTCATAAGTTTTGCCTGGTTCTTTAGGTTCATAGTGAGATTTGCTCTACTTAGTGTATTGAGTACTTTACTTAGTTACTTTTGGACTGTAAACTTGGATTCTCGACGATTGTTTTCACCTCAATTACATGTTCTTAGTTCTTTCTTTTTTTGTCCCTTATTTTTCCTTGGTTCATTTACAAGCCAAAACACCTAAGGTTTTTCCAGACAAGTATAATTACTTATATTATTATTATTATTATTATTATTATATATCTTCAGTTGCATGGATATTAGTTTGTGACCCTGGGTTTCACGCTTTTGCGATCGTCAGACCCGAGGATAGCACAAGCGTGAAACCCAGAGTCATAAACTAATATCCATACAATGGAATATATTAGCTCTATCACTGATATTGAGCACTTTCCAATAAGTACAACATATATATATTCTTTGAATTTAAAATTTTTGAATTTTTGAATATATATTTTTTTTTGAATTTGTAGGTCTGATGAATTGGATCATGATTATGATTCAAATATAATAAATTATAATCATGGAATATTAGTGTTTGAACCTTTTAATAATTTTGTTTAAAAATATGATTCCTTCGCTACATAAGAGTTCTCATGTTTCAAAAACGAGAGCCGAAACCACCCAAATAATTATTAAAATTAAGTTGAATTGAGGTGTTTAGTCCCGTTTCATCTTCAAGCGAAAATTTTAGGAATAAGCTATCTCTTGGTTTACGTGTGTTTTGGGGCATGGTCCGTTATAACATTCGTTATTGTAGGAGTGGCTAGGCTAGTTTTCTTCATTAAGTTGTCAGAGAGTTAAGTCTTATCTACAGATTCATCATCTTCTGAGAAGTTTTGCTAAGGTTGGGTAGGGTATCTATTTCAATGCTAATGTTGGCGGTGATCCTCTAGTTAGTTCCCAGTGAGGGATATTTTTATGGCGCGCCTACAAGTCGTTATATGTCGGGAGGATTGTGTTTTATTATTGTCCATCTGATTATCTATTTATTTATTTGTTTATTCAAGTGGGTGTTTTATATACAAACCGTATTGCACTGAATTTCAATTTGTTTTTTGACGACTACAGAAAGGGTTTTTCCTATTTAATGATTTGGCTAAGCTTTTAAGACTTTTATTAAACAATGTTTTTTTTTATGCTAATTATTTAATGCGAAAATTTGTTGATGTCGGCAAAAAACCGTTAACTCCTGCCTATGGTTTAATAATTTTTCATTATTTAGAAACTTAATGATGTGTAGTTTTATATATATATATATATATATATATATATATATATATATATATATAGGTTATGACTTTTTGTAAAATAAGAAATTTCCTGTATCATAATTCAATGAACTTTAGTTCAAAAATAATGAAGAAGCATTTAATTCAGTTTAATTTTTTTTAAATGTCACCTCCAACATGAAATTTCTAAAATCATATAAAACTATAGTAGTACTATTTTACGGCCATAAACTGTTAAATGCATTTAAAATATATATGTACTATCCATTTACATCGTTAGTAAATTGAAAAGTAAAGCTTCCTAATATTTTCATTTTTACCCCTATTGTCTATATGCTAAAATCAAATTTTCGGTTTGGGGGTGACATTTTTCAAGAACTGATTAATGCCTTTTTCATTGCCTTTGAAAAAAGTCATCATTAAATTTTTAATTAATTTTTGGCCTATATTGCATTATGCATAATAAGCATGTTTTAAAGATCATTGCAGTTTTACAATTTTTGACTTCCACTTTGTTACTGACAAAAAATTACTATTACATATGTAATAAAAATGCATTAAATATTTTATTACACACACAAACAGACACACACACACATATATATATATATGAAAAAATATAGTTTTAAGGTGTGCTATATTTATGGGATAACGTGCTCAATATCAGAGATAGAGGGTATGTAAATATAAATATAAAAGTTAACATTGAAGTTAACACTCAGAGGCGACAGACTGTTTCATGCTGGGCACAATTTCCCTATTTAATTAAAAAACAAAATTAAAAACGAAACGTGCAACACAGCAAAAATATCTTGGAAAATAAAGAAAAAGATCATCAACCTGCAACAACCAATCAAAAACTTGCAAACTTTGCTTGGAGGAAAAAATATCTATCATTACCTTCCCAGACCAAAATAAATTATTAAATAAAAGATCTGAGCTCATCTCAAAATGCTGACATGAAAACAAATTTTTACTACATTACTTAAAAATTTAAAACTGAAAAAAATAAAATAAAATAAAAATAAAATAAAAATAAAATAAATAAACAAACAAAATGACAATAAAATAAGTAAAATAAATTAACACAAACAAATTACCAAATCGCACCCATTAGAATAGACAAAATAGAATAAATGAACAAAAAATAAAAAACAAAATCAATGAACCCAAATAAATAAAGTAAATAAAAACAAATCAACAAACCATTATGACCAAAATATTAGTTAGATTATAAAAATCAAGCCAAAAATCGAACGAAAAACATAGCTATAACTGTTATATAATGATAAAAAAAACTACATTACTTAAAAATCGAAAACCGAAAAGAGTAAATAAAAATATACAGTATAATAAATAAATAAGAAACAAGTAAAATAAACTAATCTAAATTCATCCAAATAAATAAACTAACTGATCCCGTTAAATTAACCGTTTGAAAAAACAAATAAAGATAATCAATCCAAATAAATACATGAAGTAATAGACAAATTAAAATCCGCTCCTGCCAAAATAATAGTTAGAATAAACTACAACAATCAACCTCAAAGTTGAATAAATAGCTTTAATTATCTTCCCAAATCAAAACAAAACTATTACATAAGCGATATAAACAAATTTTTACTACGTTAATAAAAACCCCAATTAAAATTAAAATAAAAAATATATATATAATATAAGAAATAAAAATAAAAAAAAATAAATAAATAATGACAAGCAAAATAATTTAACCCAAATGAATAAACAACTTCCAATAAAATAACTACCAAAATAGACTAGCCACAATGGATCACTGACCTGTATATATAAATAACCGAGAAAAATAACAGCACTCGTGGCCTGACGATTGCGTCTAGCATGAAACAGACTGTCGCCTGTAAGTGTTGATTTCAATGTTCACTTTTATAAATATATATATTTATATATATACTTTTATAAATATATATATATACTTTTATAAATATATATATATATATATATATATATATATATATATGGACTGAAAATCAAGGAAATAAACAATTGTCATTGGTCAGGAAATAATGCATGCATTTCTGACAGATTGGGGCTATTATACTTAAATGACTGTCAAGCTTTGTATTGGGTGAATATTTAGTAATAAAAAATATACATGGTGATTCATTATTCAGCTTGGCTTTATGTTCATTTGTGATCTGCACAAAAACATATTTCTTGAGTGAGGTTTTCTTTTCATTTCTCTAATTGTTCAGTGTTGAAAAGAATGAAGCAATATTTTACAAGTTCTAAATCACATATTTTTAATCATTTCAGCCCAAGCAACGGCACCAAAGCCACTAAGACGCAAAGGGGCTACTTAATGTGAAACAGTATGAGAAAAAGAAAACATTAAGGAGAGAGAACAACAAAAGAAAAGGAACGAAGAAAACAGAATATAACAAATGACACTGTCTTTAAAATTTTGAAGATCAAAGTTGACTGGAAACACAAGAAGTTGGAAGATTTAGAAACTTTTTTTTTCTACTGACCTGTAGATCACATGTGGTATCCAAAGATGCTGGACAGGGATTTGTATTAAAGCATTGACCATTTTCATAGACAATATCTGCAAGGCTGAAGAAGGATTCGCCATAATGGTCATAGAAGTTCTGATGAACCCATGCACCTGTGTGAGGTTCACAAATATACTGAAATTGAAAAGAGAAATGGTTGTGATTGTTTAATGCTGTTTCATATATACATATGTATATACATATATACATAAATATATATATATATGTATAAATACATATATTTATATATAGATATGTATGCATACATACATAAATACATATTTTTTTACACACACACACACACACATATATATATATATATATATATATATATATATATATATATATATATAATAAAAGGGTTAAGCACTAATATTCCATGGTCATAATTTATTCCATTGAAATCATAAACACGATCCAATTCATCAGACCTACAAATTCAAAAAAAAAACAGAAAAAGCAACTCCAGAAATAAAAAAATAGAATTTAGAGAGAGTGTGTAAGTATGAGAGTATGGGACGAATGTTAGAGCTAAAGAGAGGGGTAACAGACGAGAGAAGGTGGAAAGATTACAACTTAACAGAGAGAAGTTTACAACTCTCTCTTTCTCTCTCTATATATATATATATATATATATATATATATATATATATTTTTTAAATGTGTTATTGATAACGGATATAATAGTTTCCATGCCTGAAGATGACTCACTGTACAGTTGAAAGTACTTGTGTATTTAAGAAAGACCTTATACAGCTTATAATTTTAAAAAACAAGGATCATAACATTCATCAAATGATTTGTAGGTTAATGCAGCTTTAAAATTTTATCCACGAAGGGATTTCGCCATTTTCTATCATTAACTTTACAAATTAACTTTTTCTATGAATGATTCATTGTAATATAAATTGAACTGCACCACATATTTGATTTAAAAGAACTGATTCGACGTGCTCTATTTGTTGAACAATTTAGTTCATGCCACATTGACTGATAAACTTCTACAAGAAAAAAATTCTCAAACTGCCATATTAGTAAAAAATGCACTCTCTTGAATTTTCAAAAAAATTCAACCTTAGCATTGATACTGGATGCTCCAAAAGCTTGTATCCGTTATCAATAACACATTTCAAAAAAACATATTTCAATTTGCATTATATTTTTTCATTTCTGATGCTATCTGAATTTTAAAAAAAACAATATATATATATATATATATATATATATATATATATATATATATATATACATATATATATATATATATATATATATACATATATATATAGATTATATATATATATACATATATATATATATATATATATATATATATACATACATATATATATATATATATATATATATATATACATACATATATATATATATATATATATACATACATACATATATATATATATATATATATATATATATATATATATATATATATCCTTCGTTTATATATTTATATAGTTATTTTATTTATGACAAACATATTTCAATTTGCATTATATTTTTTCATGATGCTATATTTTACCAAAAACAACATATATATATATATATATATATATATATATATATATATATATATACATATATATATATATACATATATATATACATATATATATATATATATATATACATACATATATATATATATATATACATATATATATATATATATATATATATATATATATATACATACATATATATATATATATATATATATATATATATATATATATATATATGTATATATAGGCAGCAATCCTTCGTTTATGCATATTTCATTAAAAATTACTATGGTTCAGCATTTTATTTAATTTCTCTCGTGTTCTGACAAACATATTTCAATTTGCATTATATTTTTCATCTCAGATGCTATCTGAATTTTACCAAAAACAACATATATATATATATATATATATATATATATATATATATATATATATAGTATGTGATGGGTACATCGTCGTCTAAATTACACAAAAATGAAAATAACACTGACATTCCAGATATATTTACCAAAAATTACACAAAAATATGTTCATATACTAAATAAATTTATTCAATAAAATCACCATTGGTTTCAAACATGGCCTCCAGACGACTTAGGAATCTCCTGCAACTTTTCTGAGCAGTCTCCTTGTTTAAGTTGATGAATGCTGTCATAATCCTTGCCTTCAGTTCATCTTTACCGTTACAAGGAGTTTTGTTGGTCTCTGGCTCAACTGTGCCCCACACATAATAATCAAGGGGGTTGCAGTCTGGGGAGTTAGGTGGCCAGATGTAAGGGATGATATAGTCACAGAAATTTGATTTGAGCCAAGGCTGGTTTCTCCTGCTTGTGTGGCATAGCGTCTTCCAGCAGCCACCCTCTTGACCCAGAGCAACACTACCTCCTCAAAAAACATGATGTAGAGATTTGTGTTGAGTCTGAGTTTTTTGGGAAGATGAATGGAGAGATAACATTGCTATAACTAGTGATCATTCCAAACACCTTCGTAATCACCATTAGACTCACCCAACTCTTTCCATATCATCTGCACTGTCCTCAGACTGACACCCAAACACTCTGAAATGTTTGTATTGGAGTTTCCAGCGTGAATGCCAAATAGTACAGCATGCTGTTTCCAAATTTCTGGTAGAGTGAATTGCATCGTGACCCTACTATACTGTGATGTCAACAAAATCAACATGTGAATATTGAAGTCAACACTTAGAGGTAACAGACTGTTTCATGCTAGATGCAATCATCAGGCAACTTTCAATGTTCATTTTTATATTCACATACCTTGATATTGAGCGCTTTATTCCATAAATATAGCATACCTTAAAACTATATTTATTCATCTTTATATATATATATATATATATATATATATATATATTGAACCACTCAGACTTACTGTTAAGACATGAATGGTTGTTTCATCAGCATAGTTACTCAGTTGAGAGTTGATGACATCAGGAAGGTCATTGATGAAAATTAGGAACAATTAGTTTCAAGAATAGAGCCTGCATCAATGCAAAAAGATCTAGAAGCATGGGCATTCAAGATAACCTTCATTTGAAATTTAATAAGAAAGCTTGAATCCTATCAAAAAATGTGTCCAGAAATACCATAACCTTCCAACTTGTGAAGAAGACCAATATGCCAAACCCTATCAAATACCTTTGAGATATTCAAAAGCTCGATAAAAATTCTTTCAGAAATAACCATTAACATATTGGCAGTGGACCTAGATAAACTGAAGCCATATTGCTTATCTGAAAGAAGACCAAGTGAAGTGAGATGCTTTACCAGTTCAGTGTAGAGTAATGTTCACTTGAGATTGTGTCATTGTATAGGTTAAATAAATCCAGTAAGGAAATATATCTTTGACTTGCTCAGTTTTCTATTTTGTGTATTTGTTCAATGTTTTCTGTCTGCATGCATTTAGTTTGTCCCTAGTAAATGTAATATCTTTCCATATGATTTAAGCATACCTAGCAGTTCAAACAGTTCTTTGTGTTACCGACTATTAAATGCTGTATTTGAAATTCATTTTATACGTATGTGAAAATATCAATCAACGTTCGCATATTTTCCTGGCTTTATGTGTATTAAGGATAAGCGTTGTAGAAAAAATGCAAAAGATAATAATTGGTCTATTTTTTACACTTTTATTTGTATTTTACTTATATTTATTTCTTTTTATTATATTATTTTTTATTATGTTATATATATATATATATATATATATATATATATATATATATATTATTATTATTATTATATATCTTTATATATCAATATATATATATATATATATATATATATATATATATATATATATATATATAGGCTTAAACACTAATATTTCTCTTACTTAAACCCCTTTCACTCACCTCTCCTAAAATTCACTCTGTTAAGGTTTAATCTCCCTCCTTCTCTAGTCTGTTACCCCTCATACTTACACTCTCTCCAAATTCTATTTTTATTTCCGGAGTTGTTTTTTTCTGTTTTCTTTTTGAATTTGTAGGTCTGATGAATTGGATCGTATTTACAATTCCAATGGAATAAATTATGACCATGGAATATTAGTGTTTAAGCTTTTTTATTATATCCTTACTCTGTCCTGTACATTGAGTTCTACCTGGATTCTATCCTCACGGAATTTTTTATTCAAAAAATATACATATATGTGTATGCACCTATGTATATATATATCTATATATTTTGCATATGTATGTGTATATTTACCACTAATATTATCTATCTATCTATCTATCTATATATATATATATATATATATATATATATATATATATATCCTCCTGCAATTATCCATACTGATTACCAATTAAATTTATCTTGATATATATATATATATATATATATATATATATAAATATAATTTTATATATATATATATATATATATATATATATATATATATATATATATATATATATATATATATATATATATAATTTATATATATATATATATACATGATTTTATATATGTATATATATATATATAATTTTATATATATATATATATATATTTAATTTTACTCATTTCAACCCCACCTCACACGCAAGGCAACAAGGCCACTAAGACATAGGGGATTACTGAGTGTGTATGAATTTAAGAAAAAGAAACATTATTAAAGAGTGAGACGTTTAAAAAAACAGAAATTAAGAAGGTAGATAGATAACGATTGACATTGCATTTAAATTTTTTCAGATCAAACTTGACTAAAAACCAAGAAAATGCAAAAGAGAAGTGAGAAGTGCAAGAAAAAAAGTTAACATATTTATAAATATTTTATAAATCAGTTGGCAAATATTTTAACCATTTCAATAAACAATCTAAAGAATAATGAATATAAACGACCTAATAAATAAATAGTGTTTATAATTTTTGTTGTCAGTTCTCAAGAACAAAAAAGTGTATAAATTCACTTTTATCATAAATTTAGTTCTTATCAATTTAAATAATCGCTTTTGAAAACAATAAACATTGCTGCTGAGGAGTGAAGGTAGTTAAAATAATAGCAGTGTCAATGGAAAAGCTGTCTTTTTTTCCACTCTGGTTTCTTGAGAGCATGAAGTTCCAAGTTTGCTAGAAATTTTATTACAGTCTAGTAAACAGATGGTATCTGTACTGATTGTTTTATACTTCCTATAATAAAATTATACTTTTCTATAATAGACTTTATAATTCTATAATAAAATGACCATTAATATAACACATACAGACACACGCATACACATATATATATAATTAGGTTACAGCATAAAAGCAAAAGAAAGTTTAAAAACTTACAAATGGAAGCAATTTCCATGCATGAGTGGCCACAAAATCAACAGCATCCAAAATATAATCAATTGTTTTATCCTCATAAAAAAATGGCAAGTTCAGACGAGTGAAACCTGGTCTGGAAATAAATAGAAAACAAATATAATTTACTTCACAGAATCAAAAAGTAATGCATTGTTCTCTTTCCTCTTTTGTTTTTCACAGTCTCTGGTATCTATTATTAATGGAAAGCAAAATAGGTTCTCTCACTCAATTAAAAAAAAGCAGTTTCATTTTGAAGGTATAAAAATTAACTAGCTGTTCCTTTATTTTGTAGTCTGTATATATGTGTATCATCTGCAAGACTACCTTTACACCAATGTGCCTAAATTATGTATATCGTCTGCAAGGCTACCTTTACACCACACCAATGTGTCTAAATTCCATTATTGTGCAAATTTTTGTTAGTCTATTAGTTGTACTAAATGGGAATTACTAAAAAATTTATTCACTTACCTCATCACCTCTAAAGTATTTTCAATACATTTCTCACATCCTTTGCCACTGAAAAAAAAAGACAAATCTTGAATTGATTCCTAGAAGCATATATTCAGATATGTTTGTGAAACAGGTCATATATAAGCATAATTTCATGACTTACATTATTCAGATTGTTATTCTCATCTTCACTGTCATATTCACAACGTTTTGGCCGTTGTATGCTCCAGGCTTCTTCAGGTGGTTGGAATTTCGAACCGAACCCTTTATTTTATCCACCGCGATAGCTAGTTCTAGTTTCACGTACCAGGCTTCTTCCGGATGTCTCAGTTATTTCCCTTTAACTCAACTTTCCAAGTTTTTTGGTTCACCACTACTGTAGCTGATATTGAACTCACAACTCTGAGTCAAGTCAACTGGATCTAACCAACACATTTATCCACTGGGCCATGTATTGGTGGACAAAATAAAGGGTTCCATTCAAAATTCTAATCACCTGAAGAAGGCCGCAGCGTACAACGACCGAAACGTTGTGAATATGGCAATGAAGATGAGGATAACAGTCCGAATAATGTAAATAATGCAAGTAATCATAATACCTCATCTCAAAGATATACACACATAATTTCTTTAATATTGGTATAATTTTTTTCATTTTATTTTAATATTTTTTTGATTGTTTGTTTGTGTTGTTTTTTTTTGTGTGTGTGTTTTTTTTTGTTTTGTTTTTTTGTAAAAGTCCGTCTTATTGTGCAGCAAATGATATTCATGAATCTTTCAATTTGTTGCCCGAAAGGATTTTTGCATATTAAATACTGAATTATCTCCCTTACACTGATTTACCAAACTCCCGTATTTTGTTGCTTATAAGACGGGAGTTAACTTCCTATTACATTTCTAAATAGTTACCATTTAATTTAGTACTTCTACTCAGTTTTTGATGAATTTGAAATGATTAGATAGTTCGAAAGATCAAACGTTTTGGTTGAGTTCTTAAAGATTGGAAGTACAGAAGAGGATTTCCAACAGCACAAAAGCAAGAAGCAGCAAGACATTTATTGTGGAGAAGGTACCTCCACATTTTCGCTAAAAAAAAACAGTACAAAGAAAGAGGAAAAAAGGCCCCAAACTTAATAAAAACAAAGTTATATTGTCAAAATAGTTATGTTATGATTAAGAGGAAAGATCAAAGTATTTTTTAATTATTTTTTTAAAAATTTTTACTCCTTTCTAACACGTTCGAAATTTTGGTTAAGAATCTTTTTTTATGCGTCAACGTACAGAGCTGATTATGGGAATTTTAGCGCCTTTGTTCCAGTAAGACATTAATTTGGAAATTCTTGCAAAAATCAAATAATTGTCTGAATTTAATGAAATTTTCGGGACATAAGTCATTTCATTAAATTCCGACAATTCACAATTACTGTGAATAATCATAAATGAATGAATTTATTTTTCAAATTATTATTTTTAGAAAACCTTAGTAAAATTTATTTTTTACATTTTTTTACCCTCTACTTATTTAATTTCATGAAATTTCTAGAAATTAAATTCTGACCTCAAAATTTGTTTTATTAGTTCAACGCAGAACTCCTTGGGAAATGTAAATCGTCTTTTTAAAAAAAAAAAAAATAAATAAATAAATAAATAAAACAGTTACTCAATTCCTGAAAATCTGAAGAAATAAAACCTGCAATAAAACTATTTAATTATTTAATTAGATAAGCTTTTAATTGCTTTTATAACTAATATATATTAAGGACATTATAGTCTGAAGAAAAAAATTTTCGATGAATTAATTATCTTAAAAATCTTGGTGCGTGATGATTTGTATTAAGCTTTATAATTTTCGCTTATATATATATATATATATATATATATATATATATATATATATAGTCTTCATTTAATAATTTAATAACCTAAAGAAGTCAAAGTTTTGAAGAATTTTTAAAAGATTTTTGAAACTTTATAAATTATTATAATTGAAAAACAAAAATGAAAACAGTTCTTGTAAAGATACATTACGTCATGTGTCACTGCTGTTAGGGCCCGCTGTCTCTTCTTTTTTTTAAGTACACTTTTCAGCGCATAAAGTAAGTAATGTTTTCTTTCAAAATATATTAAATAAACATTTGAATTTTAAATTTTGTAAAAATAAATTTTAAAAAATGTGTAACTGTTTTTTGGCAGAATTTTAAACGGAAAAATTAACTTTTGTTTATAAAATTGAAAAAAAAAAATGACTGACGATCGATTTTTCCAAAACAAAAAAACATGATTTTAAACGACAATTTTGGACGTGCTCAAAATGATTAAAAAATTTTAAAAAATAATCAAAAGATACTTTGATCTTTCCTCTTTATTATAACATAAACAGTTAGACAAATAAAAATTATTTTCGTCAAGTTTAAGGCCATTTTTATCATGATATGCTCGTTTCCCGGCGATCTCATGAAGGTACCTAAGTGTACCCATTTTGAAAATATGAGTGATCATACACGACAGAAAATAAGATCGATGACTGTTGTAAATTTAAAGTCAACATTCCTAAAATTAGATTACGGAAAATATTTCTAACATTTTAAAGATTACTGCTACTTAAAAATTATATAAAAACAACGTTCACCAGTTATTTTCTTAAATTATGTTTTTACAGATAAAGTCTCCATAGAACAACAATAAAACTGTCAACACTTTCAGAAGCACTTGTTAAGTGATTTAAGAGCGTTAATAAACACGTAATCACCGCTACTGCTTCTTTTAAAAAAATATTTCTCTGTTATTTTCAACTTAAAGTAAATAATACCTGTTTCAAATAAGATTAATTATACTTTAACTCAGCTAATATTCTTCAAATAAAGTTTCAGAAAAGTATATTTGATTTTTGGAAGATTTTTTAATAAAGAAAATTACACTGTGATGACTGAATCGGACTCCAGTCAATATAATTCCTGTTTGAAATACACTACACAGTTTTTTTCTTACAGGAAATAATAAATTTAATCCCTTGGCTTTCAATTTAAAGCTAAAATGAAAGATTCAATAATTTTTTTTTTTAATTTTTAAAATTCATTTTAAACCTTAGGTATCACGAATTATCGTGAATTAGTGGAGAGTTTAGAGCAAATTTAAAGAGTTTAGAGCAAATTTAGAGAGTTTAGAGCAAATTTAGAGAGTTTAGAGCCAGTTCAGGAGTACATAAGTTGCGGCGATACCATCAAGTTTACAAACTACGTAATCATTTTACTTAAATTTTCCAATGATACTCTGACAAATTTTGCAGAGTTCAATTTAATTTTTTCTTTATATTTATTATTAGCCTAGAAATCGGCCTTTGTGCGGACTTTAAACTACTCCGCACGGAGGGTTTTTACCTTTAGCATCCTATGTACGTAAGAGTTATAAGGATTTAGAAATAATAAAAATATTTTATCTTTATTTGACACCTTAATTCGGCATAATCTTTCTTCGTATACTCAACCGATTTCCGTAGTTTGTTTGAAATGATTTTGTGAGCAATTTTTTATTTTCTTTTAAAATCACAATTCTAATGATCCCTTCCCATAAAACCACCCAAAGGACATTAGGGAACTCTAACTGTGTAATATCTCGAATACGCCACAGAACACATACTAGAAAAAATATTAACAAACATATGAGCAACGTACCGTTTTAATTACTGTTTAATTAGATGATATCAATTGCAATTGCGACGAAAAGCGAAATTAAAGTTACATCTTTAATGAAGAAATGATTTTTAAGCCTTTCATTCTGTTCGATATTTAAATTTATTTTTAAATAAGTTATTTATTTAATTATTTAGTCGCGTGAAACAACATTAGTTACTACTTGTTACTTCAGGTTGTTTATGATTCGTCAAGATCGAAAAACGGACGAACGAACGGACACACGTACACTGCGCTTTATTTATATAGATGTTTCATGATTTTGTTTGTTTTATTAATACTGAATTTACATTCAAAATATCATAAGCATGTTATAGAATGTTTTAATTCCTTAAATATTAACTTTTGAATATAGTACTTACTATTCACACTGAGACTTCAAAAACCACGAGAATTTCGCAAAAAGTTCTTCAGAAATTCCCAATAAATCCTGCCAAAAAAAAAAAATAAATAATCATTAAAATTTATTTGATAAAAAAAGTGCATTTCAAAATTTAATTTCTATAATATTACAAGGGAGACAACTAAAATAATTGTTGACAGATAAAATGAATTATTTCCCTTGTTAGTTTATTTCCTTTTTATTTTAGCTTCATTTTTGTTTACTTTGTTTATACATAGAAAACAGGAAATGAATGTATTATCGTATTTTAAATCAAAGTTTTATTTAAAATACGATAATGCATTGTTTTACAGAGTTTTATTATAAAACCTCTAATTTTTTTGCTGGCTAATAGTATTTCTACAATGAAATCATAAAACTAAATTTGGCTTTCACTAAATTAGATTACTTTACTATTTGATTTTCCTGCCTTATTTTTTAATTTTTTGTTAATAAAAATAGATAAAGGCTCTTTCAATTTCTTATTTGCGTCCCCATTTGTTGAAACGGCCAAGCAAAAATGAAGCGCAAAAGAAGAGGCTGCTGGGAAATGTTTTAAAATTAAGTTCTTGCTTAAAAAAAGTAAAACACACACACACAAAAAAAAACATCGCTCTACAATATGTCAGTTCCTTTTTGTTATACGCAATTCAGATACACCAAAAGAGAAAGAAGATTGATAATTGCCATTTTTTCCAATTACCAATATAAATTATAAATTTGAATAAAATCCTTTGATCGGACTTTATTAGGAAAGTTAGATTTTTACATCTTATAATTTGTACGAAATCCACAGATATGGAAATCACATTAATTACTATTTTTTTGTTTTTATTATTATTATTATTAGTAGTAGTAGTAGTAGTAGTAGTAGTAGTAGTAGTATAATTATTAGTTGTAGTAGAAGATTGGCAGCTAGGTTTCATCATTTCACAGATGAAATGCTTAGATGTTTAGTAACCCTCATTTCAATTGCAAACATTTTCTTGAATTTCATTGGTTGTTAAATATAAAATAAGCTTCGAGTAATTTCCATAACAAAACAGTCAAAAATTTGTGCAAAAGTAGGCTCAGCCGACGTAAAAAAATCTTTCTCAAATTCATCCTTAATTTAAATGTTTCAAGAAATCCTATTAGCTAAAAATAAAAAAAAAATACAACATTCGCCCACGCATTTCTCAGAAAAATTCGCAACAGCTACCAAGCCCCGTTGAGCCGATTTCGTTGTTAAAAAAAACTATAAATAGAAACAGCAAACGAGTTTTCGTCGCATTTGCAATTCACACACGTGAATCATGTGTCAAAATCGCCGCCAAAGAAACAAACTTCCTTTATGAGAGATTAGAAAAATTTACACAACAAACTTTTTCACTTAATATCTTTCATAGAAAAATCTTCTAAGTTAAATTTAACCTTTTTTTAGTCAAAGGCAGACAACTTTTAGACATTGAACATTTGCGAAATAGCAAAGAAGTTTTTCTCTTAATTATACTTTTGCACACATTACAAACAAACAAATTGTAAATTGTGTATATAAAATTTAATCTGTTGTTTCAAACATGTATTTTTTGTCGTGATTGAATATCGTTACCATTTGGCTATTTCTATATAATTTACCATTTGGCTATTTCTTATATTTTATGTTTGTGGATATTGCATATTTTATTTGCAGCACAATCTTAAATATTCACGCATCCTTCTTAGATCCACTACAGTTGTAATTGTAAGTTCTATGCTAACTTTCTCGCATTTCTCGCTTCTTCTAGTTTCTAGCTGTCAACTTTGATCTTCCATAATTTAAATGTAATGTCATTCGTTATCGTATATTGGGCTCGTCTATTAGCCCAATCTTACCTTCTTCGAATAATGCACTATTCCAACTTTCATTTGTAAATCTAGCCCTCTGATTGGTTCATTTCTACCAATCAGGTCGCCCGCACGTGCACTTCGAAGTTTTGGCGCAAAATCGTCCCGGCGCCACCCACGTGATCATGACCTTTTAAAAAGAACCCAAAGCACGTGTGACTACGCAGAGGAAGACGGAGACGCAGACCTGGGCAGATCAGCAGCAGACCATATGTCGACCGCTTACTCAAGCTTAAAAATGTGACGACTACAATTCACTAATCGAGACGACAAATCTTTTCCGTTCAATATCTTCTACGAACTTCTTCGTCATTCAAGAATCTCAAACTATACATTCTCTTTGACGTCTACGATAAATCAGTCAGTCGAACGAGCACAGAGATATGCTAATATAATCCACGTTGCTTGCAACTGCAATCTTGCCGTGCAAACTAACGCGCAAACTAAATCATCACTGACTCACTCGCAAGCTCAAATCGAAGAACACTCTGTGAACACACGAAACTTCTATCCGAACAACTTTACTTATCTAAAGTGAATTGACACTCACTACTATTCTAAGTAAATAACATCATCGAACGAACTCGACATTTTACAGTCAAAGGTAGACAACTCCGTAATGACTCATTTCTAAAACACAATACCTACATTCTAAATATTAATTACAATTTCCTAAAAAGACTGTAACGTTGATACACAAGACATAAAAAAGGACATACAAAAACTACAAATATCACGAGCACACCAACACATTAACAATCTCAAAAATATCCTGTACATATCCTATTTGTATATAAATGCTTTTATTGGTGTTGAATTGCATGTATGTTTTGTCTTGTTTATATTGAAATTGTTTATTTGTTTGTGGATGCAGAAACGTTCACGCAACCTAACATAAATTTCCTTCTGATTCAACTCAATCCTACACCAAATCCCTTAGTTTATTCTGCACATCCCCAACGTGTATGTCTTCTTAATGCATGTTCTTTTATTGTTCTCTCCACTTACTAATGTTTTCTCTTTCTCATATTCTCACACCTTGTCTCAGTGGCTTTATTCCCTTGCTTGGGGTAAAAAGATAAAAAAAAATCAACAAAGTACTAAGAAAAGAAAGAGAGACAAAATTTTGGAGTACATTCTGATTAATATAAGACAAATTCAGGAGAACAAGCAAATGAACCTAACCTATTGCCTGTGTAAATTGCTATAAATAATTCATACTTACAGTTGCATATGGTCCAGCACAAGCACAACCTCCCCTAGCCTGGATACCGAACATATCATTTAGGACACTGGAGACAAAATTGTGATGAAGGAGTTTGTTGCTTTGTGGGTGTCGAACGAGAAAGGAGAAAATTGGAAGTCTTCGACTGGAGTGACTTCCAAGTATCATAAGGTTGGCATTGTTCTTCCATTTGGCAAAAGCTCGTCTACAAAAGAAAATAATTGATAAATCTGAATTAAAAAAAAAAATTCTTAAAATGAAATTGTTGTATCGCAAATTTCGAACTCTAAATTATAAATTTAATTTCCTGACAGAGAAAAGGTCATGTGATGTCAGTTGAAACTGTGAAGAACACTATACCCGAGGAAGGTCGTAGAATACATCAGTCAAAATGTGGGAACCGAAGCCTTTACTTAATCCACAGGGTGTGTTGACCTCGACTTCATGTAGTATTTTTTTTTATTTAGCTGATACTACATTTTGCCTGGTTTTGTTTTGTTTTTTTAATCGGTATCACTCCATGCAAGGCAGTAAAATCAATAAGACGCAGTGTGGAAGAATTAGGAACAGAAGCATTAATACTAAGCAGAAAGAGTAATCAGGAGGACAGTAGATAGCGATTGAAACTACATTAAATATTTGAAACTTAAAGTTGGCTGGAAAGCATGGAGACGGAAGGGAGTTCCACAAGAAAAGCAGTAAAGCCACTAAAACTCAAGGAGGTTGCAGGGTGTGGAAGAATTAGGAACAGAAACGTTAATAATGAGCGGGAAGAGAAAAGAGTAATCAGGAGGACAGTAGATAGCGATTGAAATTACATTTAAATATTTGAAGCTTAAAGTTGACTGGAAAGCATGGAGACGGAAGGGAGTTCCACAAGAAAAGCAGTAAAGCCACTAAAACACAAGGGGGTTGCAGGGTGTGGAAGAATTAGGAACAGAAACATTAATAATGAGCGGGAAGAGAAAAGAGTAATCAGGAGGACAGTAGATAGCGATTGAAATTGCATTTAAATATTTGAAGCTTAAAGTTGACTGGAAAGCATGGAGACGGAAGGGAGTTCCAGAAACGGGAAGTGCTTGTAAAGAAGCTGATAGCATAGAACTTACGGATACATCTAGCTAGCTCAAGTGTAAATTGATGAGATGTCGACGCCACTCTAGTACTGTGCCTAAATTCAAAAAGTCTTAGTACCATAGCGAAGACCTTATCCGATAAATTACCATTATTTATAGAAAAGACACAGAGATGCAACCAATCGGCGGTGGAAAAGTAACTGAATCCGAGCTGCCATATCAGGACAAATAATATTCAAAGATTCTTCTTTATATTTTATCAAGGAGCTCCATGTAAATAGCAAGAGCACTGGACTACATATGGCAGCAATATTCAAAGCATGTTCGAATGACAGACATATAGATATATGTGATAGATTCTAGAGAGAAAAATTATCCCGTACGACACATTGAACCAACTTTCTTAGTAGCTGACCTAGCAATCTCTTAAATATAGTCTTTCCTGTTCATTTCAGAATTGAGAATGTTAGACTGAGAAGGCGTAGTGGGTTACTTTCCTGGAGGTTAGCATCAGCCATGCTGATGGAAAGCAGATATGATTAATGGAGACAAGTTTACTTTTGAAAGCGTTAAAATTAACAAGCCATCTTTTGCTCCACTTAACATCGGACTTGGGGTCGTTTTGGATATCGGCTGCCATTTTGATTTTTTGGAAAAGGAAAAGGTTGACAAACTAAAAATGGTGTAAACAAAAAAAGGGGATACAAACAAGCGATCACAGCATTCTGAGTTCGAAACAAGAAAGACAGATGAGACCGAGAAGTTGCCTATGGTTGTATCTCGTGTTTTCGAGATAACAAAGGCAAATAAATAAAGAAGACAAACTCGTAAGTAATGAAATACTACATAAAGGTAGAAATAGCAATTGGCCTAACGATAATTCTCCTCATCTTCGCTTATTTTCATAAACGAACGATTCCATTCATTTATGTCCTATATGACAGATATAAAGATGGAAACCAACATTTTATTGTTCTTATGTGATAAACTAGAGTATAACCGGGGTCGGATTTGTCTACATCCCCAGACGAGACTCTGCCCTTCGGCATAGCGTCTTCTGGGTTCCTCTCTGTTTAAAGTCAGAGAGTTTGACAAGCAATAAGTGCCTAGCGTACGACTAAGACCTAATGCTCAGTCGGTATTTACACGAGCTCCCCACTAAGCGGGATATGGCACAAGACTAGCTTAACGTGGGTTTTTCCGAGTCCGTAGGCCCGACAAAAATTCTCCATAGATCTCGTATAAACGGGTTCGGGTTTGTCTAACTTCCCAGACGAGATTCTGCCCTTCGTCTTAATCTCGTCTGGGTTTCCTCTCTGCCCGAAGGTAAAGAGTTCGACAAGCACTAAAAGCTTAGCACGCGGCTAAAGCGTAATGCTAACTCAGCTCATGTCCGCCTTAAGTCCGTTTATTTACATAAACGGACGATTCCATTCATTTGTGTTCTATATGACACTACAGGGTGACCCCAAAAAATGGGAACTTTTTAGCAATCCAATAAACCCAAGAGCGATGGAAGACGAATATATTATTCATAGTAAGTGAAACCTTCAAACATGCCATTTAAGAAACAATGATGAAATTTTCATTTTTTAAAAATTACGTTCTGTAGATGGCGTCCTCCTGTACGAATGCATTCTTGAAATCTGCTGTTGAGATTCCTCATTGACTGCTGCAACATCTCAGCTGGGATACGGTGAATTTCATCTTGAATTCTAAATGGCGAAATGTTTACTTGCTCAAGGTCACTATCTCGCAGTGTTGCCACTTGCTCATGTCTGGCAATACGCACTTCAAAATTTCCCGTTTTTTGGGGTCACCCTGTATTATAGTCTGTTCTTTATCTATCTATCTATCTATCTATCTATCTATCTATCTATCTGACACTTATCTTATTAGAAAGTAATTCCAGCATGCATCTGTATGTTTAATCTATATATTTGAGGTGGGGATGTTTTTGCAGCCATTCCCATGTCAATTGGAACCAACATGTCAGTCAGAAGGTCTATCTGCTTCCTCAGGAAGTGCCTCCCGACAGTCATTTTAAAAGCAAACGATTTATCAAGGTAATGTACACGGCCGTGGTAGCTCGACCAGGAAACAAGTCTTCGAAGGGAAAATTGGGATATTGCCATTTGTATACAATGAACAAAGCTACACAGATTAGTAAGAATCACCAAAAAAGAAACATTGGTGATTCGAAAAATGATCATTGCAAAAGTAATTGCAGACATTAAGGAGAATCAAAGGTATTACCACGTAAGTGAATGTAACGAGTTCGAATCCCAGTCGAATCCATTACATTCACTTACGTGCTAATACACTTGGAAAAGGTATGAATCCCCCCTAGCTATATAAGAAACAGAGAAAGAGAGAGAATGAGTAAAAGAGAAAGAGAGAAAAATAAAGAAAAAATAGCAGAAATGACCGGGTTTTATGGATGGTAACTGGTCTACCGCAGAAAGAAATGGCAACCTACTGCGGGAAAAAATCTGCCTCGTCAGTCATGTATCGAAAGATACATGATCGCCTCAGCGTGTATCAGGCATGACACATAACTGACTGACCCTTGGGAAAGTTATGACTCTTCTTCTTCTCCCACCAGCTACGGGTAAATAGCAGGACAAACCGGGTTCTATAGCCTTGGATGGCAACTGGTTTACCGTAGAAAGAAATGGCAACCTGTTAGAATTTTGGGGTACTATATACTAGTGAGCCAACCAAAATGAGCTGACTCATTTTATAGTTCACCAATAGAAGCGTTAACCAATCAGAAAGTTCAAAATATTCAATCCGACGTGTATAAAGGCAGCCATATTGTTTTTCTTCCAAAATATCTTCACTGCCAACCTCTGATATCGAAGACTTAAAGAATTACTTAACAGCTTCTAATTTCTCCGAATCTTCACTGCCAACCTCTGATATTGAACACATTACCGACTTCACTGGATTCTATATTCTGAGACTAAGGCAAACATGGTTAACACAACCTAATGCGGGAAAAATGTTCCTCGCCAGTCATGTATCGAAAGATACATGATCACCTCAGCGTGTATTACGCATGGCACATAACTGACTGACCCTTTGGAAAGGCATGAATCCTCCTCTTCTCCCACCAGCTATTGGTAAATAGCAGGAGAGACTGGGTTCTATAGCCTTGGATGGCAACTGGTCTACCGCAGAAAGAAATGACAACCTACTGCAGGAAAAAAATCTGCCTCGTCAGTCATGTATCGAAAGATACATGATCACCAAAGTAAAATATCTGCCTCGTCAGTCATATATCAAAAGGCGATCATGGCTCTCCACTTCCCTCTATCCCTTGCAGCACTCAGCAAGTTCCTCTGCTTCTTCCCTCAGACCACGTTTTGTCATTCACTTGCTTAAGCCCGCTAGGTATGTCACGCGCTGCTTTCCCTTGTCTCTCTTTCCTTTTGTTCGACCCGTGAGTATCAGATTCTCCATGCCCTCCTTCCTCATTATGTGTCCCAGAAACTTCAGTTGCCTCTTCCTGATGTTAAATATAACCGTTCTCCTTGTTGCAGCCTCTCTAGGACCACATCGTTGCTCACACGCTCGGTCCATGATATCCTTACCATCCGTCTGTAGAACTGCAGGTAAATATCTGCCTCGTGAGGCATGTATCAAAAGATCGCCTAGGCATGTATCACGCATGTCACATAACTGACTGAAGGAGAATCAGTCAATTGGAATGAAGGATCAGTGAATCATTATCCAACAGAGTAATGCCAAGCCGCTCTGTAATGGGGAAGATGATCTGATTTTGTCTGTGAGCAAGAAAGAGAGATGAAATATAATGAAAGAAATCAGCCTGTCAATAGTTTTGGATCGGGGATATTTCAACTCGATTCGCGCACTTCCGCAATCAGAATTAAATACGGACAATTTTTTAAAATAATTTCAACTTGAGAAAGGCAATAAAGCCACTAAGATGCAAGGGGTTACTGAATGTTAGAGAATATGAGAAAGGGAAACAGTCACTAATAAGGAGGGAGAACAATAAAAGAACAGCAATTAATAAGTTATGTGCCATGCATGCCACGCTTAGGTGATCATGTATCTTTCGATACATGACTGATGAGGCAGATTTTTTCCCGAAGTAGGTTGCCATTTCTTTCTGTGGTAGACCAGTTTCCAGCCAAGACTATAAAACCCGGTCTGTCCTGCTATTTACCCATAGCTGGGGCGAGAAGAAGAGGATTCATACCTTTCACAAGTGTATTAGCACGTAAGTGAATGTAATGGATTCGACTTGAATTCGAACTCGGCTCTCCGATTCTTCAATTCGTGCCGCTATGCATTACTCCACCGTGCCATAATTTTTGAAGATCAACGTGGTAATAAAGCCACGAGAGGTAATTGGGCGTGAAAGAGTTAGAAAACAGAAGCATTATTAAGGAAGGAGAACAATAGGAGAGTAATCAGGAAGACAGTAGATAAAGATTGACAATGGATCTTAATTGTTGAAGATTAATCTTAACTGGAAAGCAAGAAGCTGAAAAAGAGTTCCACAAGTGAAAAGAGAAGAAACTATTAACATAGAACTTACGGTCACATCTGGCCATTTCAACTTCAAAATGATGAAAAATTGCCGCTAATCTAGTACTGCACTTAAAGTCATAAAGTCGATCTACCATAAGGGAAAGTTTGTCCGAACAGTTACCATGAATTTAATCCAGAGACGGATATGCAATGTGATAGGTCCTGATCTGGCATCTCCTCTACAGTCACTCTCTCACAGACATGCTGTGGCTTCCTTCTGTCTTGTTAACCATGTTCACCATAGTCTATGAATATAGAATACAGCGCAGTACGTAATCTGTTCAATAAAACGTTAAAGATTAATACTCACGAATCAGACACTATACTGAATCCGCCTATGTCGCCAATAGCACCAGCAACTGTTCCGTAATTCTTCAGTCTTCGATATCAAAGGCTGGCAATGCATATTCGGAAAAAAACATGGCCTCCTTTATACACGTCTCATTGAATATTTTAAGCCTTCTAATTGGTTAACCCTTCTACTAGTGAACTATAAAATGAGTCAGCTCATTTTGGCTGGCTCACTAGTACTAAAGTGTACCCAAAAATTCTAACATGTCTGTCTTTTCTACAAGCGCTTTCACAGCAACTGCTCCGACAAGCTACTTACGCTGGTTCTCAGGCTGCATGAATTTAAGCGTACTACTAGTTTGGCATCTTGCACTCACACTTTCACTGTTGAAAAAGTTAAATGTAACCGCAATTTCTACTCAAACAGATTCTTTTCTCGCACTTCCCAACAGTGGAACTCCCTTCCTCTTACTTGCTTCCGCGATAACTATGATCATCAATTATTCAAGAGTAAAGTCAATCGACATCTTCTGATACTTTGATCTTATTCCCCGTCCTACTCTTTATCCTTTCCTCAAACCCGCTTCTTTATTCTTGCTCTTACCCTCTGTAATCCCTTGCGTGCTAGTGACACTTTCGCCTTGCTTGGACTGAAATGCTTAAAAAATATTTATAGAAAAGGCACAGAGAAGCTACGTTACGGCGGTGGCAAAGGGACTGAAGCTGAGATGTAAGGCCAGGACCAATAACACTGATTTGAAGAATCATTTAAACAGCTGAGCTGGATAACTCTTGACAATATTTTCTTTTTTTTTTTGTCTTTTCAGATGACATTGGAATCAGTAATGAGGTGTAGAGGAAATGACGAATGCAGGTTTGGACACATGGTGAAAAGAAAAACTAAAAAAGGTAGGAAGATTAAGAACAAAATTTATGTGTGATTCAGAAGCTGTCAACATCGCTAAGTTTATCGCTGACAAACAAGTTCCTGGACCAAAAGACCACAAATAGCCTCACTTGTATATACAGTTACTCCACCAATGCCAGAAACTTACTTAAGTTCCTCCAGCAAATAATCCAACTTATATTTGACCACTCCCAAGAAGGACAAAGATGTTTTTAGATCAATCACATCTCCCTCAGAAATTGTCCAGAGGATGATGTAGTGACAAAACATGTCTTATTTCCTCTTTAGAGAAAATTAATCCCCAGACATCACGAACCACAGGATGTTTTTCTGTATCTAAATATAGGTAAAATCTACATATTTTTTGAATTCAACGTATTTTGAAGATATTAAGACGTTCAACCGAATGTCATTACAGTTTTGTGTTCGTATTGTCTGGTTTCGCACGTCCTCGCGGTGAGAGCGCTTGTCAAAACGAACACAAGCTGTTTTGGCAATTGACGGACGATAGCAGACCCCAAATTCAATTTAAAGTTAATTTCCGAGTTTGACGGATCAGTGTCCGGACTTACAATGGGTGAATGGATAGAGAAGCTGGAACTCATTTGCAGGCTATGTGGATTGAAGTCTTTGGAGCACGTGATCCCTTTGAGACTTACTGGCGGAGCATTTGCAGTTTACCAAAAACTGGTTGACAAAGTAAAATCCGTGCGAAAACCAGACAAGACGAACACAAGTTTGCCACTTCATTTTCTTTATCTTACAAGTGGTGACCCAAATACATTTGGATATGCAGCTGTTATACTTTGATGAGTGAAGAATGCCACTGTGAATTCATACGAAGAAAGAAATTTGTCAAAATATGCTGGAGACTTTTACTCCAGCATGTATTATGTTGTCACACATAAAACGACGCACTTTACAGGAAATGAATAAAAAGCTTTTGAAATGTAAAATAATGAATTTATTTAGTTGAAATAGGCACCATGTTGATGGATGAATGTTCTCCAATGTACTTCTAAATTCTTGATTCCATCTTTAAAAAAATTCTCATCCTTTGATGTGATAAACAGTTCAAATACTTTGATTACCTCTTCCTTCTTGGAGAATGTTTTACTGGGTATGAAAAGCTCAAAATGCTTAAATAAGTGATAATCAGTAGGAGAGATATCAGGTGAATATGGAGGATGAGGCCAAATTTCATCATTCAGGCTATACAGCTTTTGGACAGTTGATTGAGAAGCGTATGGCCGTGCGTTGTCATGGAACAAAATTAAACCATTCTTATTCACAAGTCTAAGATGTTTCTTTTACAATTTTTCGTGCATACATTTAATTTCTCTACAATATGAGAATGCTGTTATTGTTTTCCCTTGAGGCAAGAATGAATAATGAATAACCCCTTTGAAAGACCACCATACAGTAACCATTAACTTTTTAGGCTGCATAGGAGATTTTGGGTATTGTTTTCGTGATTCACTTGCATCTAATCACTGGCCTACTGTTGTCAAAGAGTATCCATTTCTCATCGCACGGAATGATTCAGTGCAAAAATGCTTCTTTTCCCAGTTTGTACTCATAATGTAAGATTAATCGACATTGTTTCATTGTAATTATTTTCATTAGGCTTATGAGTAACGATATATTGAAAGAAACATTATCTGGAAAGGAAAAAGAGTCAAGAATAAGTTAAGATTTTTTATATACTAAGGAGGTTACTTCGTTAGACGACCAGATCAAGAACCAACCAAAAAATGCGTCATTTCATGTGTGGCAAACTAATATAACCAAATACACACTTTACATAAAAGCAAGTTTAAAGTTATAGAAAACCAAGCGGGTATTTTGAATAATGATGCTATAAATTTATATAAACAGCAGTGGGGAAACAGTCGCATCATCTTAATATTGGAACAACCAACGAAAGAATGCGTCATTTCATGTGTGACAACCTAATATAACCAAATACACACTTTACATAAAAGGAAGTTCGTATTCATATCTGCTCATGGCGTATCAAATGTAAACAAATGACGTCACACATTATAAAATGGACAAATCGGTTAAAAGATACGTCAGGCTATATGACAGTTCTTTAAAGGATACAGGTTTGAATCATGTCGAAGGACGAATATTTTCTATGAAAATTTCTCGGGCATTCAGGCCGGTAAATGTTGTTTAATACTGTTTATTATAAACAGAGCATTTACTTAAATATTTCTATCTATAAAAAGTATGTATAAACTATATACTGTTTATATATATATATGAAAGAAAAATACAGAAAAAAACAAACAAAAATCTGAATATGCAATTATGTAGTATTAATGTTAAAATAAAGTCGACGTCGGACGTTTCGGTCTATTTAATACTACATAATTGCATATTCAGATTTTTGTTTGTTTTTCTGTATTTTTCTTTCATACTGTCGGATCTATATCCATATATTTATATATATATATATATATATATATATATATATATATATATATATATAATATACTGTTTATTATAAAACAGAGCATTTACTTAAATATTTGTATCTATAAAAAAGTATGCATAAACTATATACTGTTTTATATATATATATATATATATATATATATATATATATATATATATATATATATAAATATATGTTTATTATAAACAGAGCATTTACTTCAATATTTGTATCTATAAAAAGAATGTACAAACATAAAATGTCTTAAAATAAAAGGAAGTGTAAAGTTATAGAAAAACAAGCGAAATATTTTGAATGTTATGAATTTATATAAACAACAGTGGGGAAACAGTTACATCATCTTAATATTGGAATAAGATTTTCGAAGTTCAAATATTTCAAAAGAAGCAAGTAAAATTCCTCACCGACAAAGATCTTCCTCTCGTTGCTCAATGTTATTCGGTCCAACTGCCTGAAAGATGCAAAACATGAAAGAAACAAATAAAAGAAAATGTTTCTCTGAACAGACAGGCAAACACCAATGATCTCATCTAAAACAGGTAGATAAACTTTCTTCAGAAATCCTTGGGACTAGAAATGATTCCAAATTAAGAATTTCAGAAATGGTAATATATGAGTGTATATCTAAAGTGTGTATGTTTTTATACAGGACTTTAATTCAAAGATTATTTCAGGTACACATAGTCCTGGGTCTGACGATAAACTACATCCAGCTGCAAGACCTCTGATCAGGAGATTGGAGATTTTGAGGAACGTTGAACTACCTCTTAATTGCTTTTGTTCCCAGGTCTACCTTCACCCGAGATGGTAACACCTGTTAAGATCCCAGCTATGAGTGAATAGTGACCCCCCCCAAACAAATACAAAACATTATGAAAGTATAAAAATAAATTTTTATATAAAAAATACCAAAAATACATATTCATAGTAAAATTATCAACAATATTTATTTATAGTATATATTTAGTTGAAGCCATAACATTGTGTTCAAAAATATTTAGATTTCAGCATTAGATAACCCATAGAGGTGTTGATATGCCACTAAACAAAATCAACCAATCAAACAACTAACATGAAAGAACTCTTTATGGCATTAATAATATCCTACAATTTCTGAAAGAAATCAAACTGTATTCTAAAATATAACTTCAAGAAAACTACAACATAAAACACACATATCACCACCTCTAGTAATCATATCTATACAAAGATGTATATGCACAAAAGCTGAGTATCATCTACCATATATTCAATTGTGAAAGCAGAATAACATATATCATATTTTTATTACTTCAAAGCTTCCAAGAAAATTAAATTTCGGCATTAAATGACCCTTAAGGAGTTGATATGCAGTTAAACATATCAATCATAAACCAACCTGCTTATCTCCCTTCAAGCCTTCAACTTCATCAATACATTATGTTAAGTGCATTTTATCAATAATTAATGCATTTTATCTGCAGTTGAAAGCGTTCAAAATATTTAGATTTCGGCATTAAATAACCAACATGAAAGAACTCTTTCATGACATTAAACCATATAATATTCTATAATTTCTAAAAGAAATCAAACTGTATTTCAAAATATAACTTCAACAAAACTACAACATAAAACACACACATATCACCACCTCTAGTAATTATGTCCACACGAACATATATATGCACAAAAGCTGAGTATCATCTACCATATATTCAATTGTGAAAGTAGAATAACATATATCATATTTTAATTACTTCAAAACTCCCAAGAAAATTAAATTTTGGCATTAAATGACCCATAAGGAGTTGATATGCCATTAAAAAAACAAATCAAATCATGTACACATATAATGGTTGGCAATTTCTTTCTGAGCACACCTGTTTGAAAAGCTGTTTAGACAATTCCTGTTGCAGGTGCCTGCTCAGTGGGGCCGGACTATTATCTCGACTTGGATGGGCAGAACCAAGGGACCCCTTAAGCCTTTATAAAGTAGTGATTTTAATTTTCTCAATGTTATAATTTCTAAATAGCTTTATAAAACTGAAATGATATTAATATGTCAAACTAATATTTATTTGACTTCAATTCCTGCAAAGTAAATTAAAATATGGGTTTGTCATGAGTTTTGGCAAAGTCAAAGAAATAAATATGAGTTTTGGCAAAGCAAGGAAAATAATGTTTTAGTTTGTGCCAAGTTGATAACATTTGATTTTAGTTCAGAATGTTTAAATCATTGAATTTTTTATAGCGATTTCATTTTTCTAGATGTTATAACTTCTAAATAGTTTCATAAATTTAAATGATATCAATATGACAAATTCATATTTATTTGACTTTACAGGAAGCAGACCAAGAAAAAGAATGTTTTAGTTTGTATCATTGTATTTCAAGTAGATAACATGTGAAAGTCTGAAAGTTCTCCACCGCCTTAACCAGGCATTGAACTCACACTCTTTAGGTCCTGTTACTGGATCTAATTAATGCCTTTATCCACTGTGCCATGTGTCCTTGAGGGAATTAACAGGAGATAACTGATAACTGACATTCATTAGACATGGCACGTGGAACTAGAACAGTCTACCCCAGTGAGCAAAATAAAGGGTTCAGTTCAACATTCCAAACACCTGAAGAAGGCCAGAGCATACAACCTTCAGAACTAAAATCAAACATGTTATCTACTTGAAATACAATGATACAAACTAAAACATTCTTTTTCTTGGTCTGCTTCCTGTAAAGTCAAATAAATATGAATTTAAAAATAACAAAATATTTTGAGAAATTTCCATCTGAACTTACGTAAAAATAATTAACTTTAAGCAAAATAGTCACAGCATATAGAAAATAAAAATGTTGTCAGTTTAAGCTGATTCTAACATTATATGGCTTAATATGCCTATTATACTTTACCCAGTGTCAACATAAAACCACTAGATTGATTTCCTGCATAATACATACAGATATAACTACATACCGACCACTCCTTGTGAGGACAATTAGATACCTAACTATATACAGACACACTCAATACAAAGATATGTTTCTAGAATAGTCTGTTATGTAGTTGGTTGAATATTAAACCTTTTGTTTTATTGTTATGGTTTTGTAGCTTAAACAAGTGAGAAATTTCAAGGAAAAGTAGTAAGGGCCAGTTCAAGGGTTTTTTTGCATGCTGGTCTGCCTGAATCTATGATTAAACTCTATTGCTTCTCAATTTTCATAAGGTAGTATCCATATGAAATACAAATTTTGTCGTAACCTAATTATGTACAATAATGGATCATATGTAATACAAGTGAACAATGCAATTAGTAAAACTGAAAATAAATACAATGTATCTAAATACAAATTAGAGACATGTCATAATCATTCCCTCTTAAATAAATCAACAATGTTTGGTGGCAATTTTTAAAATCAGCTTGAGATTTTTCTTGTTGAAAAGTTGAATAAATTTAATGCATTTACTATTATAGATGAAAAAATAGTGAATTTTACATACTGTTTTTTTTTTTTCAAGACTTAGCATAAGCAAAAGAAATTCATGGATTTGGGAAAAAAATGGCCACAGAACGATGTCAAAATCAGCAAAGATTTTTTATTCTTTTAATAGTTGTGTTTAGTTTAATTTGTAACTTATATAAATGTAGGTAGAAAAAAATAAATGTTGATAAAATAGTGAAGTTCACAAAGCCCTGCTCAGGACCCCCAATCAGGCTTGCACCAAACTCATGTTTAGGTGGTTCGGGGGGTAGTACCAGTCCTGAAGTTGGTGTGTCATGAGCACTGATGGGGGTGCCATGCTTGTATAATTAGCAGTTTCGGCCCTTGAATCTCCAAAACTACAGCATTGTGAGGAACCAATGATTCCCACAATCTTGAGCGTTTCAATACAAAAATCATGATTCAGTTACCAGATAAATCATTTTCAATTTCGTTTGGGTTGATTCTCATTGGTCAGTCATGTATCCCTAATAGACAGACACACATACAAAATATAAATAATGATTGACATAGAAGAACAAAATTGGCCAGAATACATGAAGCTAGAAGAGAGTTCCACAAGTGAGAAGTGTGAGAAAAGAAACTGTTAGCATAGAACTTACAGTTATATCTAGCCAATTCAAATGTATATCAATGAGACCTTGTTGCCAATCTAGTACTGCACTTAAATTCATAAAGTCTAGTGAAGAGCTCATCCAAACAATAACCATGAAAGTATTTATCAAAAAGACACAATCAAGAGGCAATCTTACGGTGGTGGGAAAGTGACTGAATGCCAGGTCAGGACCAAAAATATTGCTGATTCTCCTTTGGATTTATCAAGAATCTCTATACATATATACATTATACATATATACAATATACATATATACAATATACATATATACAATATACATATATACATATATACAATATACCTATATACATATATACATATATACAATATACATATATACAGTATACATATATACAGTATACATATAAACATATATACAATATACAATATACATATATACAATATACATATATACATATATACAATATACATATATACAATATACATATATGTAATATTCAGTACTTCTCACCACTTAATTTATGCTGCAAGCATTCTAGAGTATCTCATTTGAATATTTAATAATAGGAAGGTTGATATAAGAATATACTGGGTTAATTGTTCTCTAAAAAAAGAATAATTATCCAGGCCCATCTATTTGAAGCTCAAAGACAATATCTCTCATATTTTTCATTTAGTATGCTCACTATAATTTCTATATGTAACTCAGACAAATGTTTATCGATAATTCATTAATGTATGAAAATGTATTTTTATATTGAAATTTAATACACTTGAGAAATAAACACAAAATTATTTTTTTTAATATGTCAGTAAAAAGATTTGAACTTTAAAAAGCATATTTTTATATTCAAAGAGGTAATTTTGGGAAGGAAAATAAGGAAAAATATATCCTGGGTGGATTTTTCGCCAAAAAGAAATAATTATCCCAGTTAATTTATTTGGAACCCAAAGATAATATCTCTTGTGTTTTTCATTTGGTATGCTCACTTTAATTTCTATATGTAACTCAAACAAACATTTATTGATATTTCAATAATATTTCTGTAACTTTAAAGTGATAATATTTTCGGTTTTGGTAAGGTAATTAAAACTATACAATATTCTTGACTATATAAACACTTACACATTTTTTGTCAAATAAAGTCTTCTGTATATAGCAGAAAGTATTCTTTTTGGATAATGTATTGCAGTAAGACATCTCATCCATCTTCTTGTGGCATCTGACAAGTGTGAGGCTAATTAATATTGACTGGAGAGCAGATAAAGGAACACTTGATTATTAAATCAGTATTTAATATAACCTATTCCTCAGTAAAGTTATATAACAATACCATGCCACAAAGAAATGTGCTTACATCAGGCTGGGTATTTAGTGAATTTCAATTTGGGAAAGATATTGACCAGAGTTGTCATATTTTAAGGACAGAAAAATTAATGCAGAAAAATCAAGAAGCCTCTTGTATTAATCAGAAAAATTTAATGTTTGTTTAAACTCATAGAAAATATTATGTTTGTTTCTCCATTAGATAGTTAGTTTATACATGCATTACACTTTGCCATTACCTCAGATAAATAATGGACCATTCTGTTTTGATTGAAAGAAAACAGAATGATAATCTAGTAGTCTTATGTTGACTAAGGATAAACTATGGTAGGTGTATTAACCCATATAATCAGTTAAAAGTGATACCTTTTTTTTTATATATATGTCTTCAAATAACAATTGTAATATTAGCAATTTCCTTATAAGGAAACAGTATTCTTTGACAAAGCAGTCAGTGCTACTTTCAGTTAAATTCTATAAAAACTTTGTATTAAAACAATTATGAGAAAAATAGGGTTTCTCAACTCCAGTAACTGTTATTGGTCTTTCAACTACTGATGGAGGCTTCCTTCCTAAACTATTATTTGAAACGTCTTTTGAAACACAACATTGTTATATTAATAAGAGCAATTTAATGTTGTTGAATTACATTTAAAAAAAAAATAATAACTCCTCTTGCCAAACTGTGATTCTGTCCCAATCCTGTTCTTTGATTCATGCGAATTTACATATGCAGTACAGGCAATGTACTGTATATACTTGTGTATAAGCTTACTTTGTGTATAGTGTGACCCCAAAATTTTTTGGCATGAATTCTAAACCCTCCAGAAAAAACATCACCTGTGTATAGAGCAAATGGTCTCTGAAAATGTATTATTTTTAACCTCTTCAAAAAAATTTCACCTGAGTTTAGAGCAAATGGTCACTGAAAATGTATTATTTTTAACCTCTTCAAAAAAATTTCACCTGAGTTTAGAGCAAATGGTCACTGAAAATGTATTATTTTTAACCTCTTCAAAAAAATTCACCTGTGTATGGAGCAAGCACTCACTATATAGGAATAAAGTGTCACTGCCGACACTTGGGTTTGAACATAGATCGCCAGTGAGCAAATACAGTCATTCCCATTACTAAAGTATGTAGACAATGTGACCATAGACGAAATACATATATAGAAGGAAGCATGATGTCTAAATGATAGCAATTTCTAGTCTATCCTCTATTAATATACAGACCGTTATTCTCTACTATATTCACTATACTATTTCTCTATTTGGATCACCATTTACTAAGTACTAATAGTGCAAGTGTTATACAAAGGCATCCAACACCAGCATTATTCAATGGTGTACTATCGTCTCTACTACAACAAGCATTATGAAAGTGACAATGTGTATTCGCGTACATTACAAAAGTGTTGACTGAGTGTTTTTTGACATTGCAAAACACTAAAAATGTATTATTTTAAACCTCTTCAAAAAATTACCTGTGTATAGTGCGAATCCATTTTTGCATAAAAGACTTGCATTATATATGATATATGTCATGCCTTGACCCTTTGAAATTCTTGACACTATTACTTATCCAGGTTTTAATAGATTCTGTATTTGTCTGATCTGAGTATTATTTTGCTAAGTAGTGTCCAGGTCTGTTCGGAAATTTCATTTTCTAACAGATATATCTTCCAGCAGTTGTCCTGCTCTTTTCCCTACCATTTGTGCCCCCCCTGAGCCTAACTGATGCCTTGATTGATAAGCCTGGCGCAACTAGCTTTAGGTCTCTACATCTGTTAAGTAATATCAATTATAGCAATTTCTGATGGAATTCTTCAAACCAATGGAGGCGGTTGGAATTTAATCTTGGTACTTATGTCCATATATTCATGCTGAGAAAAGAAATGTCTGCAAGCCTGGTCAATGGGATTTGGATGGAGTTTTGCTTGGTTACATATGTTCATGCCTTGAAAAAATGTAGCAATTAAGCACATTAGCCTGGTTGGGATAAATTTAATATTTCATTGTGGTACCTAACTAGGTTTTTGATGATCTTAAAAAAAAAGCAAAACTTCTGACCTCTTTCAATTGGAAAACCATTCCGGCTCGAATCGATTCAATAATTCCAGGTGTTCCTCCTTCCTCTCGGCTTTCAATATCCTTCAAGTAAAGATGGCTGTCTCTGGTTACCTGCAATAGACCAACCCTTTGCGATTAATTTGGTTTGATTTTCTGAGATAATGCTTTATTATTGGTCAATGACATTTTTCATGCAAATGTCTTTTTTCTCTTTTATTCTAGTTCCCTGTCCTGGGTATGATGATAAACTACTTAAATGCTGTTGTTCCCAAGTTCACCATAACCTGGGATGTAGCATTTGTTAGATATGGGCAAATAGGACCCACCCACCACCACCAAACTGGGATCAAAACACTATGAAAGTATAAAAATACATTTTTATAGTAAAAATACCAGCAATAGATTTTAATTGTAAAAAAAATTACAAAAGCTCCCAAGAAAATTACATTTTGTCATTAAATAACCCATAAGGAGTTGATATGCTGTTAAACAAACAAACCAACCAACTTGTCCCAATCACATTTCCCTGAAGAAGGCCTGAGAGTGCATCAACCAAAATATCATAATAAAAAATCTCGGAAGTTTAATCTGTAAAAAAAAAGATTGAATAAATTTAGCCTGTTAAAAAATTATATTAAAGGAACTTACTAATTTATACCATTTGGAAAGTGACTGAAGCCAAGATGCCAGATTAGGACCAATAACAATGCAGATTATTCTTTGTATCTCATCAAGAATCTCTAAATTTATATCAGAAGCACCAGACACAATGTGACAGATTGTGGAAAGAAAAATTGTCTAGCATGACACAATTAACCAACTTTCATAGCAGCTACCCTGTATTTGGTTCCATATAATCTTTCTACTTCAAATCAGTGGAAAAGGTTAGCCCAAGAAAGGAGTGACTTTTTCCTGGAGGTTAGCATCAGACATGCTGATGGAAAGCAAAAAAGGTTCTCTCAGATATATTTAAAGCTTCCAAGATAAAACTGCTCTCTTAACTAAAAGAGAGCAGTTTTGTCTTGGAAGCTTTAATATTAACAAGCCATTTCTTGCCCCAGTAAACAACAGATTTTTGTCATTTTTTAGATCAGCAATAATCAGAAATGTAGAGAAGCTGTTGGGGCATAAACATATTAATCTTCTTTCCTGGAATGATGAGACATGATGATTCATTGTTAGAATGAAAGAAAAAAAATATAAATGAGGAAAACAAACAAACTTACAAAGAGGACGGTTCCACCACCAACATGGTCAGGGACAACATTTTTGAAAAGTTTCTTTTTCGCAATTAAGAGACCTGAAAAATAATATTGAAGATAATATGTAGAATCTTTCATTGTCATAAACAAACAAACAGAGCAAAAACATGAGTGTACCCAACTTTATGCAATAGCCTTGTAAAATATTCTGAGGTTAAAATTTCAATCATTTTATTAATTACCACCTGACAGGTCATATCACAAGGATTAGGGATTAAGTTTTAGGACTACACTCTACAAAAGAAATTGTTTAAAGGAATGAAAGGTTTGTGGATTTTGATTCTTCATCCAAATACATAAATCCATGAATTTGCTCATGCTTAGTCTAAAAAAACACTATATAAAAAAACACTATATAAATAAATACTATATAAAAACACTATATAAAAAATAGTATATAAAAACACTATATAAAAAAGCATTATATAAAAAACACTATATAAAAAACACTATATAAAAACACAGTATATAAAAAATAGTATATAAAAAGCACTATATAAAAAACAATATATAAAAAACACTATATAAAAACACTATATAAAAAACTATATAAAAAACACTACATAAAAAACAGTATATAAAAAACTATATAAAACACTATATTAAAAACTCTATATAAAAAAATACTATATTAAAGCCACAATTCTTTTTACTCATAATATTGAATGTGCTAAAATTCTTCAATGTTTTAATAAGAAAATCTCAAGTTGATGTTAAAAATTGCCACAAAACATTGTCAATTTATTTAAGAGGGAATGATCTATTATGATATGTTTCTAATTTGTATTTACATTGTATTTACATATTCATTTTTTAAGGCTGAATTGTTAACCTGTATTGCATATGATCGATTACCAGACATATTTAGCTTACAATAAAATTTGTATTTTATATGAATTCTACCTTAAGAAAATTGAGATGTAGTAGAGTGTGGGGTTCATTATCATAGATTCGGGGAGAGGGATCACATGACCCTTGCACTAACCCTGGATCCAGGTTACCAATACTTTTGGCCTTGTACCAAAAGCAAAATAAGCTTAGTAAATGAAAAGGTGACTAATTGTTGTGTAATTGTTAATGATGTTGTCTGGTTAACTATTACCAGTGAGCTGTGGGTTGCCATGTCATAAAATCAACTAACGTAACATTTATATCTTGTTTTTCAGTGTTTTTCTTCCAAAAATTATCCTTTTGAATGTAAAAAATGATTTTTAGAGTTTAAGCCTTTTTTTTCTGCCATTAAAAAATAATTCTGCATTTATTTCTCAAACATGTTAAATTCAATATAAATATGTCTTTAATGTTTATTTATTAAACTGGACAAACTTTTACAGGCAACCAACAGAAAGAGCAATTTCTAATTATGAAAACAACATTTTATACTAATTTCTAAAATTAGAAAATAATGTTTTTTTTTGTTTCGTTTTCTTTTAAGCATTTCACACCAAGCAAGGTGGGAATACCACAAGCAGGCAAGGGGTTACAGAGGGGGAGATCAAGAGTAAAGAAGGATGTTTGAAGAAAGGATAAAGACAGGGATCAAGATCAAGGCATCAGAAGATGTCAATTGACGCTACATTTAAATTTTTGAAGATTATAGTTATCAGGGAAGCAAGTAAGAGGAAGGGAGTTCCACTGTTGGGAAGGGCAAGAGAAGAAGCTGCTGTTGGAGCAGAAAAGGCAGTTAGATCTAACTGTTTTGGCAGTAAAAGGGTGGGACCAAGATGCCAACCTAGTAGCAATCTTAAATTCATGCAGTTGGGACACCAAGGAAAATAGCTTGTCAGAGCAGTTTTATTCAGTGATAAATAAATATGGATGAGTACATCGTAATAGTTATTAGCACAGTTAAAAGGATTGGCATATAATTAATTACACTTTTTTAAATAGTGCAAGAGTTATCATAGCTAATTTTAAACAATTACATGATGTGGAATTTGAATCTCATGGCCATTTTTCTCAGTTGGCTCCAGATTTCTTGCTTCAGATGATGGAAAAAAGAGGAAAATTGCTTATTTTATGTCATTTGTTTAAAAAGTGAAAAATTAACATCTATGCAAATCCAAATCAAATAAAGTTTCAACTATGAGGGGAGAAGAAAAATCTATTGAAACACAACTATGTTTGATCAAATATGAAGTTAAAAATTACAAAAGAACAATTATGGTAAGAACTTTTCCTTTTTTTGATTTTCATGAATGATCCGCAGTTTTGTCACTCTTCAGGCTCCAACAGTAATCTGCCACCATTTTTTTTTACCCTGTCTGTCCACCAGACTTTTATATCCTGATGAAATCTATTTACAGATATTAAAAAATAATTCCGTGTTCATTTCTCAAGTGTATTAAATTTCAGTATAAATATGTTTTGAATATTTATTTATTTAACCAAACATTTTAGACTAATTTCTAGTCATGAAAACAACATTTTATGCTAATTTATAAAATTAGGAAATAATTTCATAGAGTAATAAATAAATATGGATGCATACATCGCTTAATGGTTTTTGCAGTTTTCTGTATATATTATGTAATTAGTGAGTTAGTCCAAATGCCTTGACTCACTTTATAGTTCACCAATAGAAGGTTAACCAATCAGAAGACGTGGAACAATGGTTATTAGCACGAAAAATGAAATTGGCATGACAAGTTTAAATTTCATCATTCGCTTTCATACAAATACCCTTGGAAAGTTGTAAATCAATCTCTTCTCTCCCCCTCTTGGGGTCTGCATAGCTATCAAATAAGAATTTGTATGCCTGCTATGTCAATCTCCCATCATCAGATGATCACATCCTCTTCTCATCCAATAGGAACTGTATTCTAAGCTCTGACTACACCAACTGTTTAGATTTCATCGTGGAACTAAACTGGGTGCAATGGATAAATTGTCGTCTAAATATTGCAAAAAAGAAAATAACATTGACATCCCATTTTAACAGTTATATTTACCAAAATTGCACAAAAATATCTTGAAATACTAAAAAGTAAATTTGTTCAATAAAATCGCCATTAGCTTCAACCACGGTCTTTAAACAACTTCAAAATCTCCCGCAACTCTTCTGGATGGTCTCCTTGTTTAAGTTTGTCAATGCTGCCATAATCCTTGCTTTCAGTTCATCTTTGGTGTTATAAGAAGTTTTGTTGGTCTCTTACTCCACTGTACCCCAAACCCCAAGGGGGTTACAAGTCTAGGGTGTTAGGTAGCCAGATGTAAGGATTGATTTGGTTGCAGGTTCCCCTTCTTGTGTGTTATGGTGCAGAGTTTTGTTGCCAGACATAGGTTCTTCCAGAATCCACCCTCTTGACCCAAGGCAGTGTTACAAATTCATGACGGTCGTCTTCGAGTATAGAATCCAGAGGTTAGCAGTGAATATTTGATGAATATTTGGGGAGATGAATGGAGGCATAACGTCGCCATCACTAATGATCACTCCAAACACCTTCATAACTAGGTTCATCCAACACTTTCTGAATCAGAAAGATTGACACTCAAAGACTCTGAAATGTTTGTAGTGGATCTTCTGGTGCAAAACCACAGCTGCAACACATTGCATTGAGAAATTCTAGCAGTATACTATAGGACTTATCAAATCAAATTAATAAATACAAGTATTGATTTACCTGGGGTACCTGGGCCTCCAACAAATTTGTGTGGACTAAGATAAACAGCATCTTTATGACTGAAAGAAAAATAAGCAAAAAAAGCATTGGTATAATTTCCACTTAGGCAAATTTCTTCTTTACTGCACTCATTAATTACCCAATTGTTAATTAATTATTATTATTGATCATTACTTAATTAATCTTTACTGTACTCATTAATTAAAATAAAATCTTTGTTTGGCTTATTAAATAGAAAGTAAAAGACATTTGGTAAATTTGGGCCTTCAGAAATAAAAACAGATTTTTCAAAAGGACATTTTTTTCCATTGACACCACTATTATTTTAACTAAATGATTTTGCTATAAATGCATTAGTGTGTATGATTAAAAAATTTTACTATAGAAATGCATTAGTGTGTATGATAAACAAATTTTACTATAGAAATGCTTTAGTGTGTATGATAAACAAATTTTACTATAGAAATGCATTAGTGTGTATGATAAACAAATTTTACTATAGAAATGTATTAAAATAAATTATTCAAGTATAGTTTTTTTTGTATTTTGTAATAAAATCGTTTCCCTATTTAATCAAAAAATACAAAAAACTTAGGAATTTCATGACAATCGAATTTGCATTCAAATTAATAAATCATTCTTCTAAATAAATAAGAGAATAAAATCCAGCTGATTATTGTTATGTTGACGAGAGAGGATTTTGTTGTTTGTTCTTCATGTGTGAGTTCAAATCTTATCCTCGTCGCCACTTGTTATGGTCCAAAGGACCTTGCACCACAGTGATAATCCAAGGTAAAATCAATAAAGAAGAACTCGAACACGGATATGGAATAACACAGATATATTACAAACAGGAATATATACAGAGAAGTAGAAGTGTTAGTACGAACAATCAGGTTTAGTAGGGAGAACAATGTAGTCTCGACCAGTATCACTATCCCAATGTCTTGTAATAATTGTCTGAACGCGACTCTGTTTCGGACTGCCTCTGACTGGACTGACTGACTTGCTCACTCTGACTAACTGACAGACTCCTGACGGACCACACTCCAGACTTCAGCCTGAACTCACTGCTTCCTCTTGAGGCGCAGTACTTATTACGTATGGAATAGTCCATTATGTTATTATGTGTAAGGTCCCATAACAATTATAGTTGACAAACAGAATTCAGTAAAGTTTAATCTTCATATTCTCAATAAAATGCAATGTCAAGTGGATGGTTTTACACTTGACATCGCTATTATTTTAACTAGCTTCAGACATTGGCAATATTTATTCAGCTGTTTTAAAAAGTGGTGATTAGGATTGTAATAAAACCTAAACATATGAAAGTGAATTTATACATTTTCTTATGTTCTTAAGAAATGACAAACAAAAATAATAAACATTATTTACTTATTTTTTGAGGGCATGAAGGTCCAAGTTTACAAGATATTCATTTTAAAACTATTGTCATTAACTTAAGTGAGTGACATATTTACCACTTTATTTCACTCTCTTCTGCCATCTTTTAGGCAACTTCCATAATATTATCGTTCCAGAATATTTGTGTCTTGGCAAAGAACTGATTTTTTTTGTATTGATCTATAAAGGAATTTCAGTTTTTTTGTTCATTAACAAGTTATCGCAAATATCAGATAAAATTACAATCTGAAGTTAGCATCTCAGTTGCTGGTGATGGACAAGTGAAAACTTCTCAGCCAAAATGTAACAAATATTGGTTAGACATTAAAAAAAAAAGATGCAGAGACTGCCATTATCCTCATGGCTTATGTTTTTCTATTAAATAATCCTTCATGCTTTCCATCAATTGCTACCTTATTCAGAGCAGTACTTGTTTAAATCAACCATTTGCTTCACTAAATGTAGTATGGTGAACAATTATGTAGAAGCAAGCGAGTCAGAATAGTTTGTATCTGGTGCAAAGGAAAATAAGGTCCTTAATGGATAGTAGCTCGGATTGAGCATTCGGAGAACCGAGTTCAAATTCCAGTCAAATCTATTATATTCACTTATGTGCTAATACCCTTGGGAAAGGTATGAATCCTTTTCTTTTCTCCCCAGCTATGGGTAAATACTAGGACAGACAGGGTTCTATAGCCTTGAATGGCAACTGGTCTACCGCAGAAAGAAATGGCAACCTGCTGCGGGAAAAAATCTGCCTTGTCAGTCATGTATTGAAAGATAAATGATCACCTAAGTATGTATCACGCATGGCACATAAGTGACTGTATTGACCTCAATACATGACACCTAGCAGCGGCATTTTGTTCCTTAAAAATGGCATGAATCACCCCTCCCAACTTTAGATTATTCCAAAAGTGTATATTCTGTAACATTGGCTTTTGTACAGCATATCATGGTTCGATCAATAGCAATTCGCATGCTGATTGGTCAAACTGGAGGGCGCCATTTGACTGGGTAACTGAGGACAATGCAAAGAACGCTAATTGGTCAGTTGGCCAGGCTATTGGTATGATAAAAATAGGGCTGAAGTTGTGAGAAGCAGAGGGATTTGCATGTTGTTTATGTGTGCTGGAATTGAAGAATGGTGGATTGAAAAAGAAGTGTTTGGTGTTGTATGAGCGACATCAGAGGAACACAAGCTCATTTAACTACAAGTAGCTCATAGGAGATGGACCTCTTTCAACTCCACTATCAATACACAGTCTAATCGACTAATAGCCAACACCCGCTTTCATCTGAGCATTGTGATCATCCTCTCTCTTTATTCTCTTTCTCCACTCTGGTGACAGTGATGTCTGTGTAGGACTAGTCTATTCCTGACGTCATGAGCAAGAGTCACAGAGGAGTATAGGTGATGGACGCAGCTGGGTGAGTCGAGTTCTCGTGAAAGCATTTTGCAGATCCTCTTCACGTTGATGATTGGACTCTAAGGTCTCAGCCCCCTGTCGAACAATCACGTGGTCAAGATAAACACTCAGTTGTGGAGCAAGCTGAGTGAATACCCATTCAACATTGAGAAAGAGAGCTATTTATGGTGCAATGGAGCACCTCATTATGCTAAAGTGGGATAGTCCATTGCTTGGGCTGTGATTGGCTGCTGGTACCTGAGTGGAAGTATTTCTATATAAATACCAGCTTGATTTCTCAGTTAGTTTGCAGGGTTTGTATTAAGTTACAACCTGCTTTATTTTTGTCTGCCAGCTGGACGCTAGCTGGGACTCTTACGCCGGTAAGTGTTGTTTATTATTGTTATTCTACATCTCCTTCCCTCCATCGCGTGTGGGTAGTGGCCTTTGGGGAGGGATTTGTTCCTTTAAACCTGGCTGGTTGTGTGGAAGTAGTCTGGACAATGCCCGAGGGGTTTTTGTCCGTGTTATTGTAGACGGCTGAGCAGTGTTTGATGTTATTGTTATTCTACACCCACAATCATATCATCTTATGCTAGGAAGACCGATTTGCAGCAACGGTTTCCCAGGCATCTTGGTCGATGTTGGGCTGTGTCAGAGATGTCTTCAACTGATCTTTGAAATGTCGTTTTTGGCCTCCATGTAGCCTCTTACCACTGGCGAGTTCTTCAAACAGGTTGATATGTGGTATGGCATTTGAGTGGGATACATTCTGAATACATGACCCACACAGCATCAACTTTGAATCAAGACTGTTCTTTGGTATGGTTAGTGTAGCAGATATGAAAACATTCTTGCCAGACACATGTGGGGAAAACTCTATCAGCGGTAGTAATCCCCTTTTTGTTTCCATCTTTTGGGTATGCGTAAAAAGAAAAACTGGAAGCATGCATACTGTAAAACGGAAGAGGCTAGTTCTCTTCCCCTGCTTGTCAAGATCGAGATAGGATGCTAAAATTAGCACTCCATGCAGTAGCTACACATAGCTTGGACTAAACACATCACTCACTCTCTAATTCACCAACAGAGTAAGATCAAATTTTCCTTCATTCTTTATAGAGATTCTTAAGAAGATTCCTTGAAATTTTCTCTGCGTGAAAAATGTTCCTGATAGAATAAATATTTCTATCTTGTTTTATTTCACTTTTTTGTTTGTCTATTTTCTCAACCAACTCATCACTTTTAGCACACAACACCTTCCCAACTTAGTAGTCATGCATTTTGTTTGATTCATGATCTCTTGACATACATTGTTACATTGTGTTCCTTTCTGCCTTCAGTCAGCATGGAAATATAATATTGAATCGATTGCTAGGTCTACTGGCAAGAAAGTTGATTCACGCTGAAATGCTAGACAAGCTTTCTCTTCAGAATCTATTTTACAAATTTATAAGTTTAGCATTTCTCCATGAATTGACTATCGCCGTCACATCTGGTCTGGTGCTCCTGCTATACATTTAGAGATTATTTTATTGTTCTTTCTTCATAATGTTTTTTTTTTTTTCTCATATACTTTCACACTCAGTAATTCATTGCATCTTAGTGGTTTTATTGCCTTGTTGGGGGTGAAATGATAAAAAAATATTTTTTTTGCAATTTAGTTACATTTTTTTAAAAACTTTCTTGAAATAAAAAGCCGCTTAAAGGATGTGTAACTCGTAAAATGGTTGAAAAAGAAATTAGTGAGCTAGTTCAATTCCTAGTTTGTAACATTCACTTACACGGAAATACTCTTGGGAAAGTCAGGGTACATCTTTTCTTCATCAGGAGAACTGACTAGACTACACTAAGGTTGCAACCAGCCTAGGAAAAGGAAAATGAATTCTAAAACTAACCTCAAGAGATTAGACTCGATAAAGTTATCTTGCCCTAGACATACGACTGTTACTATGGCTGCAGTACATATGTTGCTTCTACTTCTTTAATGGGTTATAGGGCTTGTGGTTTGTTGTGCATATACTGAAAATGTCACGCATTTTCTTTGATATTCTTTGTTCCAATGAATAATAAAATATATGCCAATTTTGACAATTAAAAGCACGCACTGACACCCAATCCAAAGAAGAGTAATTTCTTGATGTAGTTAGTGAAAACTAAACACTCCTAATACTATCTAATGACAAAAACCAAATAAACTTTTAGGATCACACAACTTCATGACAAAGAGAGAAAATATTACTTACGCTGCTTGGACATTTGGGTTCATATTTACTTTAACATAAGCACCTGCAGAATAAAAATTAATATTTGAATATAGTAAAATTCCCAGAAGAATTCTGTAGATAAAACAAATTGGTATAAGTATAAAAATAGGAAAAAAACTCAATTTTTGCGGATGCGTTTCGTCTTCTGACTTTATCAAGGCAAAAATGAAAGTGAAATGTTTTTTGTTTTCATAGTTACATTAAATCAAAATTTTAAAAAGAGAGAGACACTTTGGGATAAGCCTATTTCTGGCTAATGTTAATTTCCTTTATACTAAGATTTTTTTTTATTTTTCATTGCAGCCTCCAAATTTTTACCCATTGTTATAAGAAGTGAATTTTACTTTTGCTTTTGAATTCAATGTTGTCCTCATAACTGGCTACCAACCAATGCTAGAAATCCCTGTCTGCCCTGCTATTTTACTTATAACTGGAAGAAGAAAAAGGATATGGATTTATGCATTTCCCAATGGTATTAGTTCACAGTGAACACAAATTCAGTTGGAATTTGAACTCGGTTCACTAATTTATTTATATTTTTTTTTTTTTTGTTAACCATTAGGTCAGCTACAAACTTAGATAGATAGATAGATAGATAGATAGATAGATGGAAAGTCAACTTGTCCCCGAATATAACCTCCATAACTTCCTTGATTTTAGTGCTGATTTTCTTGCCGCTGATGACATTAGTCACACTTTAAACCATTTTTGCAAACACGCTTACCACTTCTTATCAAGGTGCTGTGACTTATCATGCCAGGAAAGTCCACACACTGACCTGCATACTTTGTTGCCTAGATTGCAAGTGAAATCAAGTTGGGCGTCATAGTGACAGATTGTGTTGTCACAGTGGCACCATGTTTGACGAATCAAGCCAGCCTTTGGAAGGCATATGTCCCCATATTCTGCACAGGTGAGAAGTGGAGGCTTTCATTCTCCACGAAGCGAGGAGCCTATTATAGCTCTTCATATTCAACCCTTTCTTTTTAACTATCCAGTCAAAGTCGTTAATGCCAGTTGTCAACATTGTCTTCTAAGTAGGCCTGTTCAGGTGCAAATCTATCCCAAATGATGGTGTCTAGATTGACCTTCTTAAGTGTTTCCTTGAGGCTGTCTTTGTAGCTTTTGTGCAACTTGTGTTGCCAGCATTTGCCTTGCACTAGATCATCATAGAGTGCTTGTTTTGGAAGTCAGTTCTTTTCTACATGCACTAAATGATCAGCTCGTCTCAGTCTACATAACCATTTTAATTTAGATATTTCTCTAAAATCTACTGACCAGCAGTGGCGTAATCCCACATGGAGAGACCACCATACTTATGGATAAGTTTGGTCACAACATCTGTGTCTGTGAGAATTCCTGTCACATTGCTTGCGGCAGAAAAAGCTGCAATGATATCAAATTTCTTTTTCTCCAATTCTGTAAAATACAAAATTAAAAAAAAAAAACAAAAAAGTTTTACAAAAGAAACTGTTGAAGAATTCAATATATATATATATATATATATATATATATATATATATATATATATATATATATATATAATGGACTCTCCCGTCGGTTTCGACGTATGAGGATCTGACAGCTTATTGATTCAGTTATGACATTTTGTGCGATAATCTTAAGTGGCATTTAAGATCCGCATGTGATTTACAAAGGAGGCCACATATGGAGCAAGTGTGAGGATTGTGAGATGCGATCACTGTTAGAATATATATATCCGTTTAAAACACGTGGCCATCGGAAATCAACCAACAAAGACGACCTAATAAATTTCTATTCCCATCATAACAAAATAAATTCCGGCATAATCATTGGATTTTGCCTAAGAGCACTAAGAATATACGGTATTTACTCTGTCCCCCAACTTGGACGAAATGTGACACAAGGTCTATTTTTAGGTGGAGACCCGAGCGCGTATGCCTGGGACAAGAACAAAAATTCCCCTCAGCCCCCGCAACCGTCGGTTGCGCTGGCCTCGGTGCGAGCACCGATCCCTCTCTCTTCTGCAATGGGAGGGCGCAGTCTCGGACAGCTGTTCCCCAGGGATGGGCACCTCTTCAATATTATTTTCCTCAGTTGTCCCTCTATTCATTGAGCGCACTCTGTCCAAAGACAGAGACGCAACTGAGAGATGATAAGTAGATGATAACTTACTCAAAAAGAGTAAGGTACGCGCTAAAAATATGCAGCTCAGATTATTTACACGAAAAAGAGAAATTCATTAAAAACACATTCAAGCTTCTCCAGTACCCTAATTATTTTATATTCATTGCGAAACAAAAGGCCCATAAATTATTCCAAAAAAGGTCCCTCCTGTGAAATACTATGAATCAAAAAATATATATTATCCTGCCAACTAACTCTATCACATCTACAATCGAAGAAAATCTAAACAATATACAATTTGTTACTACATCCAAAACAATAAAAAACTTATTCAATACTAAAGATAACAATGAGCTAAAACCTGAAGGACCAGTTTACTCCATCGACTGTAATATTTGTCACAAAAATCCATAGGAGAAACCTCAACGAATCTATGTAAAAAGATTATATGAACACAAAAAGGACATTTTACACAATAATACGTCAATTGCGTTGGTTGCCCAGTGTAACGAGATTGACCACAATCTTAAAAAATGCTACTCTGATAAAAGGAGAAAATAATTCACTACGATGTAAATGTCTAGAGAGTGCTTTAATTGCAAGATTATCTACAGTCAATTTGTGCCTTGGCTCTTACAATATTTCATCATTCCTGGCAGATCTTCTACTATCACAGAGTGGAATACCTATTTACGAAAGTGATGGAAAGAAGAAGAAAAAAAACTCTAAATGAATTCGGCTAAATAAAAAAAAAAACTAATTCTAAAATTCCCGCTATCCCTCTGTCATGCGCATGTGTAGTCCAACCAACATGACAAATTTAGTCCGATGAAGTCCCTAAGGATGAAACACATCACAAGTAAACTTTTTCCACTTTGTCATACAATTTGCCCAATATTGTTCTTGATATATAAAACTATATATCATCCATTTTTATTCATGTTAATAATTACGTAAATAAAAATGAACATATGTCCACAAATAACAATAAACATATCAAACTACTATAAGCAGGAGGAAAAAAAATTCTAAAAAGACTTATAAACATTAATGTATCCCCCACTGATGCAAGTAAAAATATAAAATTAATTATATATTAATATTAATATATATTTACTAAATTTAGTACAACCAACCTAGTGATCCATAACAACATTTCTTCGTCAACTAGTGTCTTACAAAATACCAACATTGTATATCAATTTAAAAGTCCTTTGGGAGATTGCTTCTCTGATAAAAATGTTAATACGTAAATTGGTTTTACAACAACGACAACGACAAGAAGGCTTACATTTCACTTGAACAATCATAATTCAATATCGAAAAATTTAAAGGCACACTCATGTCCACATTCACAGTTTAGCTATATATTAGTTGAACATACATCAGTGCTTCATCAAGTTAATAATAAGCAAACACTTAAAATTCTGGAAGCCGTCTATATAAGAGAATTGCAGTCAAAAATAAATAGCCAACAACGTGCATAGTTAGAAAGTTCTGAAATATTGGTAGTAGCAAAGTGTTATATAAGAACAATAAAATAAATACTAAAATTACAAATCTTTTTCAAAAAATTGTTTAAAAAATCACATAAGTTACCTTTCCTTGCATAGGGGTAAAAAATATTTTGAATTTATGGAGTTAACGCAAAACACATCAATAGATATGCAATCCCTGAAGATGGTCTCAAATGAAATTGAAAGTACCTGGGAAAATAAAAATTATTTGAAAGAAAACTGTGAAATTTTCCTTAATCAATTTTCTACAGCCACCAAGAAATTAATTTGTGGACTTGAAAGGATTAAAACTATATAAATAGACATAATACGTCTAAAGCATTTAACCAAACATGCTTGAATATATATATATATATATATATATATATATATATATATAACCAAACATGCTTGAATATATATATATATAAATATATATATATATATATATATATATATATATATATATATATATTGTTGTGACATGTTTTGTCCTTTAAGACTTCATTAAACTGACGTGATGCTTATATTGACGTGATTACACATGTGCATGAAGGAGAGGGGACACCGAAATTCATATAATACCAAATTGCAATTGGTAGAGATAGTTGCAATCTATGTCTACAGGAACAAACTCTAATAATTAAATACAATGCTGGCCAACTGTTGAACCAAAGGAATGAAATTATTTTCAAGTGTCGACATAAAAACAGATTCAAATTACCCTATAAACATTGACTTTGTGGATAATGCACTTGTGAATTTGGTTTTTATTGTATATGGGTAGAAGCATATATGTGTGTATGTGTTCATATATATGTTTGTATATAAGTATGTATATACATGTAAATGTATATGTGCCTGCGTCTGTAGATGTATTTGATTATTTATGCAGATGACTACATCATATATATTGTTTGTTATCTTTACCAATATATTTTTTATTATTATTGTTATTATTTCTAACAATTTATTATTTATTATTTTTAGCTATATATATTTATGTTTAATTTATTCATTTTTTATTTATTATTATTTTATATTTTAACATTTTTATTATTATCACATTCATTTTTTTATTATTAGTTCATTATATATTTTTTGTTATATATAGATAATTATGCATATATATATATATATATATATATATATATATATATATATATATATATATATGTTTTATAATATATATTTTTCTTGCTACCATATATGGTCTGGTGCCTCGGGGTTCTTGATAGGCTCCAGATGCGGATATGCAATGTAGTTGTCACTTTCTCACAGACGCGCCGTCGCCTCCCTCTGTCTGTTCTACAAATACTTTCATGGCAATAGCTCCGAGGAGCTGCATTCGCTGGTTCCCAGACGTCACGAGTTCAAGCGCCCTACGAGGCTGGCATCCCGCCCTCACCCCTTCACTGTCGAAACTCCTAAATGTAGCCGTCTCTTCTACTACAATAGCTTCATGTCTTGCACCTCTCGCCTGTGGAACTCTCTTCCCTATTCCAGTTTCCCTGAGAGCTATAATCTCCAGCTATTCAAGTGTAATGTCAATCGACTTCTCCAGTTGCCTTGATCTATCCACTACCCTCATCCTTTCTTCTATCACTCCTATCTGATCTTGCTCTAAATTTTCTGTAACCCCTTGCGTCTTAGTGGCTCCCCGCCTTGCTTGGGGTGAAATGCTTAAAAAAAATAAAAAAATAAAAAATAATATATATTTTTTTATTATTATCATTAGTATTCTGAAATGATAATTATATGATGATGATGATGACTAAACAGACACCATTTTAACCCCTTCCTTTTTGAGCTTTAATTGACACTTTGTTGTAACTCTGTTTTAAATTTAACCTTCCTATCTCTTTACCTTCCCTTACCCGTTATTTTTACTCATTTTTTTCTGCTCTCTCTTCATAATATAATCCCTCAAAGAAAACTTTTCTAGGTCAATTTATTTACTATTGTTTCATCTTATATTTTTTATTTTCTATTTCTTACATTTTTATCTTTGTATATCTGTCTTTCTGGGATATACTGATTCCATTTCATAAAATGTTGTTGGTCTGATGAGATGAATATGCTTATATTCATCGAAATAAATTTATTGCTGACGA